GAAATAAAGCAACACTCCTGATAGAATAAGAACAAAGCACCCACAATGCTTCAACGGCATCCATGTAAATTCATGAGGACATCCAGTCCGAGTGGATACAGTGTATCATGAGAGATGGTCTGTTTTATCACAAACATCTTGTCAACCTTGTTTGGGATTACAACAACGCATAAATAACCTCAGGCGTAACTATAACAAAACAAGACATCTTATACCCTGTAGACTGAGCTGGTCAAAGGAGCAATCCCATCCAGCCTCCCCTTCTATGTGTGTGTGATTGCACTGAAAGAAACAACTCTTATGATTTACTTAAAAAATATATTGTAAGTATTTGTACACAAATGATTTAAGTAAAATTTAATGCTGCAATGTCAAGTAGCACTCATTTGCCACTATCAAGTAAATTTTACGTTCCATAAAACATGACAGTTGTGAAGATATTAAGTACATTTACTTAATTAAATCCAAGTTTTAAGTAAAATTTATTTAAAAAAGTTAAGTCTACTTGTTTTTTATAGGCAGGAACCTCATTTTAGAATCAGAATCAGAATGCCTTTTATTGTCATTACACACAGTACAATGAGATTAAAGCCACCCATGTCAGTGCAAGACATTGTAAAAAAGATAGATAAAAAAATATAGAAAAATATGAAACAAGATTAATATGGAGTATATACAATGTAAACGTGTGGACCTGAGATTCTTTTGACAGGATAAATATGGTACGGATGTGCATGGATGTAGTATGTAACAGTATAAAATATAAAGTGCACAGTTCTGAGATCCTATTAACAGAATAAATATGGTAAATATACAGAAATAACATAAATGTGAAGTGCAAATGAATCTGTATTGTCCTTCAGTGATTTGGAATATTGCACATATTTAGGTATATAGAAATAGAAATATGACACAAGAATAGTATGAGGTATGTACAGTGTAAACATATGGACCTGAGATTCTTTTAACAGAATAAATATGGTATCGGATGTGCATGGATGTAGTATGTAACAGTATAAAATATAAAGTGCACAGTTCTGAGATCCTATTAACAGAATAAATATGGTAAATATACAGAAATAACATAAATGTGAAGTGCAAATGAATCTGTATTGTCCTTCAGTGATTTGGAATATTGCACATGTTTTAGGTATTGCACAAAGGGAAGTCAGTGCATGTTGGAGTTCAGTGTGGTTACGGCTTTTGGAAAGAAGCTGTTTTTGAGTCTGTTTGTCCTGGCCCTGATGTTTCTGTAGCGCCTACCTGAGGGCAGCAGGTCAAACAGGGCAGAGCTGAGGTGGGAACTGTCTTTGGAGATTGCCTCGGCTCTGCTGAGGCAGCGGAGGCCGACGATCTTCTGGGCTGCCTTAACAACTCTCTGCAGCCTTTCCCTGTCAGCAGCGGTGGAGCTGCCGTACCATACTGTGATGCAGTATGTCAGCAGGCTCTCGATGGATGAACAGTAAAAGGTCAGCAGCAGGTCGGAGTTGAGGTTGTGCCTCCTGAGGACTCTCAGGAAGTGTAGCCGCTGCTGAGCCTTACTGATGATGGAGGTGATGTTCTCTGACCAGAAGATGTTATCAGAGATGAGGACGCCGAGATACCTGAAGGTGTAGACCCTTTCCACACGCTCACCGTTGATGTGAAGGGGGACTGGATCAGTGCGGTGCTTCCTGAAGTCGATGATGAGCTCTCTGGTCTTCTTGGTGTTCAGAGCGAGGTTGTTCTCTGAGCACCATTCTGCCAGCTTCAGGACTTCCTCACTGTAAGCAGCCTCGTCACCCCTGGAGATGAGTCCGACCACTGTAGTATCATCAGCAAACTCAAAATTACTCAAAATTTTAAGTGCATTTTAATCTGCATTTTTTTTTCTCTGTCATTTTTGCTGTTATGAAGTAGATATTATTTTCTTGTGCTTGACATTATAGTTTACTTGGTTGATCAGATTTTTTATAGCACTTTATCAGCAACGCTCAAAGTGATTTACATTGGATATATCATTCATTTGCTCACACAGTCACACCCTGGTGGTGGAAAACTACCTTAGTAGTCACAGCTACCCTGGGTCAGACTGACGGAAACGTGGCTGCCATTTTGCTCCAACCATCACCAAACAAGACTCACAATCATACACTGCTAGAGGACACACACTGGGGGCAAGGTGGGTTAAGTGTCTTGCCAAGGACTTAGCGGGCAGACTAGGGATAGGGGAAACCGAATCACCAACCTTCCAGTTATTAGAGGTCTGCTTTACTTTCTGAGCTATTGCTGCCCTTACCTTGCTCTGTGATACTTACCTTGCTCTGTGATACTGTAACGTCCGGACTCGGAGCAGAGCCAGTCCTGTTGTTTCAAAACGCTACACTTTCAGAGTAAAGTTTATGTAGTATTTGTAGGTTTATGTACAACTATTAAACATTTAAACAGTATAAGGAAACCTCAGTAATGCTTACTCTTACCCCATAAGAAACTTGTAAGAAACTCTAGTTTTTACTGAATCTTAAAAATACAAGGTAGAAATTACGACAGTTACTCAAATAGAGTTTAGTGCGCCAAAAAGTTAATCTTTTCAGTGTGTGTGTGTGTGTGTGTGTGTGTGTGTGTGTGTGTGTGCAATTTTGCTGCCATGCAAGGAGTAAATGAAATAGACAACAATCTGCTTCAATGAGATTACTTTGGCTTCAAAATGAGTTACATTCAGTGCTGACTCATGCTTTTGCTTGAAGCTGCTGCAGTAACACACGTTTGTGAGCAAGAGACAAAGAGAGAGGGAGAGGCTCAGCATCAGTGTGAGTTTTGTTTTTTACGAGAGGACACCTTTTATAAACTGGAACTGGTCTCTTGAACTGCGAAGAAGACATGGGTGGTAATTTTTTGATCCAATTTTGTGTGCAGGTTTGACCTTTTTTCAGACAATAAATTTAAAAGTGGTGTATCAGGGTAGCTGTGTCTGCAGAATATTTGATGCTCATATAAGCCATGATTTGGTTTCTTCAGTCTGGTTTTAAAGTGAAAAATTTGTTCATTCATGAGCAAAAGATGATAAAACCTTTTTCAATGACTTGAGTTTTTATTTCAACTTTGTTTTTAACAATACAAAAACAACCACTCCAACCATAAACAAACAAAGAGCGGTGGGCACAAAAAACAAGAAAACAAGGCAGTGTTGGTATGACTGAAGTAAAAACTTCAGTACAAAGGTTTGCCGAATTTCCACTGTTCCACTGTCGCATGAGGATTTGAAATCCGTAAACATTGAAATAGTGACCATATAATGTCTGTGTGCTCACTTGTAAAGCGCCATCACCACATCATCCTACCTACATCAAGAAATCATAAAAAGTATGGATGATTTGTTAAAACAGAGGTTGACACAGATGGATATGATAAAAACTAACAATGGAGAAGTAGGAAGGTAACAATAATAATAATAATAATAATAAAAATAAATAAATAAATAACATGTAAAATAAAATAAAAAAACACGATCTGAACCTGTCACATCCTGTGTAATGAGTGAAATTGCAGAAATTTTCCCCATTTATCATCATACTTCTCAACCTTGTCCATCAGACTGTAAGATATTTTGTCAAATGCTGCTACTTGATGATACAACTTTTTAACAGTGTAGTGGGAAAAAATGGTCAACAGAGGGAGCTGTCAGTCTGCAGTCAAACTAATTCAAACGGGTCAGCTGTCCTGAAAATGTTATTTGATGAGTTCATACAGACAGATTGGTAGATGGATCATTTATTATGAAAAGCCACTTAGCATATTCTCTCTAAGTCAGATCTGAGTAAAAAAGTTGTTTCTTTTATTAGTAATGAAAATAAAAACTACTGAACTTTGAAGAGCTGGATGAGAGCCGGATGGATTCTTTAATTGGCCATCTGTCATAGTGCTGCTGCTGGTCTTGTGATATGGGTCAAGTGGTTTTACAGCAAATCCCAGAGGAGACCTGAATGGTTCTTACATGCTTAAAAGGGTTGTAAATGTGTCTAGAAAGGTAGAAAATAGTCAGACAGTAACCACCAAAAAATAGTGCAGAGGTTTTAATTACTCATCTTAGACTTTTTATTTTCACTTTGACAGCATTTAGTCAGTTCCCATGATGTGTGAATTGTGTTTGGCAGAAAACCACACAAAGACATGCACACAAATGCCAAATATGCAATAACTTTTCCTTAAGTGCAATATTTAAGTAGATGCTGGGAATTTTAGATGAAGCTAATAATCATCTGCTGATCGTACTGGAAAACATTAGTGCCGTTATGAAATCTTACCTCACTTTTACACCTGTAGGCTATACAAGGCATTAAAAACTAGGATTTTTGCTCCATCTAGTGGTCAACAATATTTTACAAAATAAATGTTAATTACCCCAACAGACTATTAGAGTTTTGAGTCTTGGCCAACAGACTGTTCACTCACACCTGGTGGAGAAGAGGTATGATGGAAATGTTTAATCATGTCTTGGATCAGGTCTGCAACAGGTGGAACAGAGTCAGCAATACAGATGTTCAGACAAGTAAAGTTACTATTCCTGCCAGAAAAGTAAGATAAAAGTAATAATAAATACACCTCTTGGTGTTCACTAAATAAGGTTTGATTTGTGTGACTTCAGTCTGTCAAATATATATTACTCAGGTGGGCTATTTCTCGTCAAAGATGAGTTTGCTACAGAGGCTTTTGTCTTTGTAGGTGGCTGTGGTCTCCTTGTCATTGATCACTAATGGGATATACACCTACAGGCACCGAAAAGACCGTTTGTTGCCACATTATAGTGACGTTTTGGCTCTTCACTTAGCTTATAATTCACATAAAAGTAATTCCCTGTTTGTTTTCAAGAAATACTCCGGATTGGTGAATATCTAAAGTTTTGGCGGTCGTGTTTTTTTTAAACCATAATTTAAGTTTGCTGACACAGAGAGGCTGCGGGTTGACCCTGGGTAGCGGCAATCCCAGTCGGAAGAGAGGGGGAGGTGGAGAGGAGGTGAGAAAGAGGGAGGGAGAGGGCTGGTGCGTCCCTGCCCTCTCTCTGCATCCAGCTGCTGCGTCGCTCCACAGCAGCAGTGAACTCACCACACTCACTATGGCTTTATCCGCAAGCAGGATCCTCTTGGCGCTATTCGTCACCTTTTGCACAGCGGGATGCGGATGGACAGGTAAAGGATTTGTTTATTTCCTTTTGAACAGGTGAACGCGTTGCTGACTCCCTGCTCTCACCTTGTGCAGTTAACATAAAAGTCCACAGCTTGATGGATGGGGCAGCTGTTGCACTTTCTTGCCTTACGTCGACATTTATTTTGTCAAATCGCAAAGCTGTAATTCCGTGACAAAAAGCACGTGATTGGGAGCCATGTCTGTGCACGTGAACCTGAACTTTTCCAAAATTTTCAAACTTTTCCAGGATTTTCCAAGTACTGAAGTTAACTTTTTTATGCTAACGAAATAGATTAACTGTTGCTATTTATAATTCACTGTAAAGTTGATTTTGATTCATCATCTGCAGATCTACAGGAGTTGAAGTGTGCAATTAAAGAAAAGGCAGACTTCACAGTCTTTTCTCACCCTATGATAATTTATGGGGGGAAAATATGATGCTATGGCCCCTGAGCTGCAGTCATGGAACTAGTCCTTACATCATACAGCAGGCACAACCTGCACAGGGTGTGATCAGCAGTTACAAGATAGTGACACATTTCAGGCTAGATCAGTAGAAACAGTGTGGTGCTTTCTTTTGGAGCGGTGTGATTCCACTTTAGTGAATAATCTGGATGATTGGGCTGATAAATGACCTGCTTCTAAAACTTGGTTTCATGGGAGAAAAGAAGTGGTGCTACTGGGTTGAAGTTTTCCTTCAGTCGCTTTCTTTGGACAGAGACTTTCAGAGTCTTAACATTCATCAGCCATTAGGCAGGGATAAAAGAAATAGTCAAGAGACAGTAAAAGTATTCAAAGAATATCAAAATGCTTTCACCCGCAAGGAAATACTACAGTAGTCGATTGCAACCAAACCGCAGAGCGCTTTTTTCAAGTTTCTTAAGGGCTTTTAGTCAAAAAAGACTTGGAGGAAAGAAGCCCACATCAGGGCGGGCAGTAAAACTATACAAAATACTTAAAGTGCCATAAAGTCTGAGGAGTTTTGGAGGCCATATAACCAAACCCCTTTCCTACAGATTACTCAGCCCACTTATATTGTCACTTGATCTGTAAGTGTCTATGTGCCTTTTTTCTGGACTGTTAGCACTTAGAGTATGAGGTCATTGCTTTGTAAGAATACAGCCAGCTGCTTTTTGTTGTGGTCTTTTCCTCTGGGTCCCCGTCTTTTCCATTTCTCTAGTCTAGGATATATTTTTAGAGCGATCCTATCACTCTTTTCAGCAAACACCCAGCTCCTCATTTACTCACCTGCACACACACACATACACACACATTCACACACACCTGGGGGATACTTAACTCAAGCACATTTCTCTGCTGCTGCTCCCCTGAGCACTTTGGAGCTAAGTGCTTTCCTCTCGGGCATCCTGACAGAAGTTGTTAAAAGAGAGGAGAGTGTTGCTCATTAACTCTCTCCACTAACATGTCATCAGCTTTTCAGTGCAAAATTTGTCAGGACAGGGAGAAATTAGGCCTGTGGGAATATCTGGACACGAAAGAGAGCCCAAAAAGAATACCTTAAACATTGTATGTTTGGATAATAAATAATCCCAACCTCTTGCATGCAGCATCAGTCCATCATCTCCTGGAGAGAGTAATTAGGATGGATGGAGAGTCAGGGGGAACCGTGACCTTACAGGGCAGGAGGTTTAAATTTCTCTGCTTCACATGTTCAATTCTACAAGGGGACCCTCAGAAAAATATCCACAAAACATTTAAAATGAGAAATTTCTCTTTCTTCTCCCAAACCTGCCATAAAAAGAACAACTTTAATACTTTCCACTATATATGATGACCAGGTAGTGGTTGACCCAGCAACCCCTGAACACCTGCAACTTGGCTGCCTGTCAGACCTGACAGCGATGGCATGTGTCATGTCATGATGTCATATCTGGGCACCGTTCCAGTTGTTTAAACAAGAACCACCTGGGCCGTGAACACCTGTCACAGCACAGTGGATGTCAGCATACTAATGTGGCTGCAGGAAGCTGTAGCATAAACCAACAGCTGAAGATGTCAGTCTACATCTGATATTCATCTGATGTTTGAATTATTAAGGAAGTTCTTGGGCTCAAGAAGCAAGCATGTGCCCATCATTAGAGAAATACAGAACACACCTTGAGGTGATTTTAGCCTCCTCAAACTCTGCAATGTTTTAGCTCATGCAGTCAATTTGAATAGAAATGCACATCTAGTTATTTCACCCATAAACTGTATACAGAATGGACGCCGTCTGCCTCCTCGCTGGGTAAAGCCACCCCGAGAACAGCACCCTCTGGTGACGGGCTGCAGTATAGGTCATAAATCCTGCCTCCTCCAGCAATCCCTATGGAGTTGTAGACAAATTTTAGAAATTAATTACACAGAATATAATTTTTTCTCACCCCTAGCTGCAATGTTGACATGTAGTTACTGTAGGACTGGTTTGTGCTCAAGTGCTCTGTTTTTGCGCCGCTCCATTTTTAAAAGTTATTAGTGGCTTCATGTTTTCTATGATTGACACTTGATACAGCCGAGGGATATGCTGTTTGAGCCGAGCGTCAACACAGTGACTCTCTGCAACTCTACCACTGAATGCCTACAATGCTACTGTGCAAGTGGTGGTTCCAGGGAGTGGAAAATTTCTGAGGAATTCAGCTTCAAATTCATATAATGATGGAAGGCGGAGCCAAGTTGTCCATGGAATATACAGTTGATGATTTCACCACATAAAATTTATCTCTATCAGCTGAATACATGCAACCCCCCACCCCCAGCCATTTGATGATTGATGTGCCATTGTTACAGGCTGAAGTCAAAGGGCAACAGCCGTCTGTGGTCATGGTCATAGTCTTGACAGCCAGCTTTATGACAGAGTTCATTACTGCAGAGAGTTTATTGGAGGTGAGAGGTGAGACTGACAGACATGCTACTAAGAATTTTGTCGCCTCTTGGGAGATATAACACCAACACCTGATCAATATACATTTGTTTGAAGAAGCAACCCAAGCTGTAATCAAAAAAGTCTGAGTAATGAAATAAAAGCCAGAGTTTCACTTTGCCCACAAGGGGAACCAACATTAACTCAAATGAAAAAGTCATTGCAAGAGCTTTAAGTCAGGACAGCAATAAAAACTCAATCTGGTGGATAAAGAAGAGAAATTCCACAATTTCACTTTGAAGTTCAGTCAGTTTAGTGAGACAACATTTTCTCTACCATTATGCGGTAGGATTTATTGGTGAGACACAAAACATCTCCTTGCAAAATGATAATCCAGAGAACATGTTGTGATGGTTTCCATCTGACAAAAGTTTTTCTAGCAAGCATTTTAGTAAAATCTGTAACCAGTAAGGTCTGTGAATTGTTCTGATTATCACTGGTTCTCTGAAAAGAGATGTTCTTTTGTGTCTGAAATACCACGTCACCATTTGTTTGCCATGCATCTTACAAATAAGACTCATTTTAACCTGATTTCATCTCCATGACATCAGATAGCTCAAAAACAGATATTAGGACAGATGAAAAAGAAATTATCGGCTTGAATGAAATGAGAGACGTGATAATCGTTTATTAAGGACCGGTTATTTGGGTGACCCAGTTTTCATGGTATGGTGAATTTGATTCAAATCACAATCCCTGAAATACATCTGGATCTGACCTATAAAGGCTCATTTATGCTCAATGTTACATACAGATCCGGACACAGAGCTCTCTGTCCGTGTCCGGGTTCTTTATGTCTGTATTTTTGCACGTATCCTGGAAGTTTACAGATATGGGCCAGATGGAGCAGTACCACTGGAAACCGCAGGGGCAGTGTTGCTGCTGTCACTACCCGATACGCATCTGTAGAGAGAAATGAAGAGGACAGTGGTGGGGCTTTTTGAGGATCATCATCAATTCCTCTCATTGGTACTACCAGAGAAAAGAATTCACCGTCCTCCAACCATGAGACATTTAGTGGCCTGACCGTCCACTGCCTCCTCTCAGCTGTCCTTGTTTCTGTCTCCTATGCAAATCACACATTATCACTAGCTCTTCCACAGTCGCCATGTTTCTTTTTCCTTGTTGTTGTCAGAAACTTTTGACTCCAGCCTGCCCCCTGGTGGATGTTATGGTTAACATCTATGCCAGGTAATTTCACTGATTACCTTACCTCCAAGCAGAGAGCAGGGACTAATCAGTTTGTGATGGAGTTTTGGGTTGGACAGAAAACCTGCAGCCTCTCGGCCCTCCATAGCACATGATTGCCCACCTCTGATATATGCGAACGTAAGTACGCAAGGAAGTATGTGGGCAGTGGCGGAACCAAAGTTTTAAACGGACGCGTACATTTTCATACGTATGTCGAGCATAAATGAGCCTTCAGACTTAAGCTCTGACAGCCAGTTGCACCACAAGGGGGACTTCACTACTCTGAACCTGATCATCCAAGGTTAGGTAGCTTTTAAAATTACTCCTCAATCTGTGGCTCCCAGTTCTACATTACATCGAAAATTGGACAGATCTAGTACAATCACATTTCTCAGCCAAATTATGATCTGACTCCATTAAACAGTAACTGATTTTGTGATCAGTTCTTCTTAATAGCAGATTTCTGAGCAAAGTGTAATGTGACTAAAGTGGGATCACAGAATGTAAAAATAGTTTGCCAAGTGTGGCCCACATTAGCAGAGCTATGGTCTGCTGAGCTTTGGTCCTCGATACAGGTTAATGTCCTCATGCCTGTGCTGGTTACACATTGCCCCAGTCAAGTAAACCAAAACACAGCTTATACAGCTTTATATCCATTTTTTAGTAGTTCAATATACTGCCAAACAATGCAGCGCTAAGAGATGCTATCTGTTACATGTGCTTGTTTACATCTAGCTAGTAGAGCAATGGCTACAGCCCCAACTAGTGGTGGGTGGCTGCATTCAAGCTTAGAGACAACACCTGAGTCATATTTCAGGCCCACGATAGTACTAAAAGTATTAATAACTTGTTTAAACAACTAGTAACTCTGGCACAAACTAGCAATGGGGATAAGTTTTGATTGGTCAACTCAGTGGGTGCATGCTTTGTACGTATAACTAAAGGATGCATAGATTTGAAATGAAGCATCATTCTTACAAATTATGTGACCAAGTAGAAGCATGTAGAAGGAAAAGAGGAGAGGGTCAAAAGTTGAGCCCTGGGGTACTCCAAAATTAGAAAGCATTAAAAGAGAAACAGGACCTGAGCCAACACAAAGACGCTGACCCATTTTTCCAGGTGATAAATCAGTATGACTTGGAGGTAAATTCCTATGTACTGTACACATTCCTAAAATTAGCTGCAAACACAGAGGTGGCTTGGTGAGGAAACCTCCCACAGATTTGCTTAAGGTTTCATTCATGCATGCCAAATGCTAGCTGTGCTGTAATTTTATCAAATAAGAACATTAAAAAGTAGTCAGTGGAAACTTTTACATCACTTGCCTCTGGTGCTAACAGATGATGAATTAAAAAGTTACCCAGGTTGTCATGAGTTTGCCTGCGTTGTTTTAAATAATGCAAATTATTCAATTATTCAAACACCTGTAAGTGTTCGTGACTGCAATCTTCGTTGCTTAGAGCTGAGAGCTTGGCATCACCTCATCTCTGACAAGCTTCCTCTTCTCCTTGAACCCTTTTTCCACATACCTCCTTTCATACATATAGTCCTTGGAGTGTGTGAGGACCATTATTAGGGGTTAGTGATGGGTCAGCATCTGTGCTATTTGTAGCCAGGTGAAAAGGTTCACTCATAAAAGCAGCGCACACTACAGGTACATGAGGGCAGGTATTTTCTGAAACAGTTTTACAGTCTTCTGTGCTAAAAGGTCTTTCATACATGTGATTTCTTTCTACCGAACTGCTCTTGCACACACATGTGAATGTCCATTTGTTACTTTGACTCTGCCACAAAGACTTTCAAGCCACAAAAACACATTAATATGAGTATAAAAAAGACACGTGCACAATGCCTTAATTCTCCACATACTCAGTAGTCTCCACTGCCTCACTGAAAAGCATTGATATTTCTGCATTATTGCTCAGGTTTCACATGACAACGCCCTAAAGAGCATCTTTCGGCTCTCGCCCTTGAATTATTATGTTACCATCGCTCAATTTCCTCCCAAAAAGTTTATTCTTGAACTGCAATCTGTTGTTCTCCTAGAAGGAGTCTTGATTTAATCTGAATTATCTAGTTTGCCCTTGGATCATAAATTTCCAGAGGGGGCCAAATCCCAGTATGATGTCTGGACAAAAGGAATAGATCCTTTCCTACGTAATACGTAGCTTTAATGGAAACCGTATGGAAGTGATTGAAGTGTGTCCAGACTTGTGTCAGTGGAGTCTGCTATGAGCAGCTGATAAAAATGACTCCTCTTCAACTCCTATTAATGAGAAAATAATGAGGAAAGACTTTGTTTTGTTGTTTTTTGATTTTGAAGAAACACTTTTACACTCCATGCGCTGAGGCAAAATGTGCTCCTAGATGTTATTTGGAGGCTACAAAAACAGCAACAGGACCATCTTTCAGCACATACTTAGAGGCCAAGAAACAACACTGCAGGCCTCCCATGAGCCGTGACCATCTGCAAGCTGTAACACACAAGGCCTGAGATGTAATTATTCTTAAATGTGAAAAGTGAGAGTGCAGCCCATCCAGCTGGGCGCACACCTGTCCAGCAGACAACAAGAATTCAAAGTAATGAAGTGATTTTTTTTTAAGAGCGCTAGCCTGAAAGTGCCGCTGTAAACCTTTGGGGAGCGAAGACAGTCATAAGGGCTGAGTGTTTATGACATGGACAGACTAAACTGACAACAATACATGAGAGCACTGACTGGATGCTAATAAAGCTTACACCATTTGAACTGCAAGAACTGCATTTCTTTATTGTTCAGCCAGAACTCACTCACAGTCTGAATCTTAAAACTGTCACAGTTAATATCCGTCTGTTAACAATATTTGACTGAGAATCATCATCACCAACAGCTGTGTAGAAAGATAGATAGCATGTCTCCGCCTTCTCTCATTGTGATGCCACATAATCTCTGCAGACTTTTTGCACTGCCAACATAATTTGTAGCTGTAGTCTGCGCAGCAGGCATCAGCTGGGGGAGCTGCAGTACTGATGTACTGTGCCTTTCACTAACCAAAACACACACTTAACTCACCAATAAAACTGCACAAATACCTAAGGCTAACAGAGTCTCCAGTGTAACAGCTTCTTCAGTCAGTTTGAAGCAGACCCCTCACACTTATGGAAAGTTCAGTGACTCTTCTGTGAGTGTTTGTTACCTTTACCCTTGTCAGTCCCTCTCTGCCCTTCATGGTTTAGTGAGCTGCTGCACAACAGTTGTTTTGAAGAAAAGGGAAGGTATAGTTTGTTTGTTGAAGTAGGGTTGTATTAGGAACAGTTGGCATATTACCTACAGAGGTAGTCTTGGACCTCTTTATTTTGAATTGACCTCTTCTATTGGGCCATTTTGGGACAGTTTTCTGGTTTTTCAACAAAGGGACTAAGCCCATGGGTGGGTTTTCACTTACTATTGGTAATTATGTCATACAATTTAAATTAAGAAAAAGCAAACTCTCCTTTTTAAGAAAGAACAAAAGAAAAAGAAAAAAAGAGAGCTGTAATTACACTTTTATGATACCATGAAACCATGTTCATTTTGCTTAAGGTTATCAAATCATCAAAATTTCATACTGACTCATGTCTAGGTCCAGCTCAAGAGCCAGATGTTTCCATCAGTAGTTACAGGAAACCAAAAACAGCAACCAAAAAAAAAAAGTCTCATATTAGATTGATGGAAACATTGCTACAACTGAATATTGGAAACTCTCTGTATTGAAATGTAAAAATTTGGAAACTTTTAACTCACTAAGTGGCATGCAGCATGAGCTTAAGCAGTGGAATTGTATATAAAAAAGATGTCATTTTAGACTAGCGTGGAAGTTTACATCACAGGTTTTATTGATAAAGAGCCATTTGGATTGACTTTGACCAGCACAAAACACATAATCGGGGAATTTCATGAATCATTTCAAAGTTCAGGCTTGTAAACAGGTATTAGACATGCTTTTTATAAAACCATGCTGAGTCAGTTGAGGACGGGGCTGCAGCGCATGAGGACATTTGCTCTTGATAAATTCAGAGGGGTTTTTTAACATCTCACATGGATGTTGTTTGCCCAAGTATGCAATCCTCTTCAGGATTTTTGCAGTTTTTTCTTCCATACAAGCCCATTTCACAGTTTTATATGTATATAGTCTCAAAGTCATGCCCTGTGCTTTACTTTATTAGGTGTGATGTTGGCCTCTTTGTGTTAATGGGCCCTCAAACCTACATTGCATCAATGCAGCAGGCAGAGAGGCAGATGCTATCCAAATAATAACTTTATTTATATAGCACTTTTAAAAACAGAAGTTTAAAAAGTGCTTTGACAAACAGTTGCAAAGCACAGAACATCAGCACATGAAAATAAAAACAAATAAAAACAAAAGCTCAGTTAAAAAAAAGGCCTCTGAATTGAAGGCCAATTTCATTTTTCATAAGAAACCCAGGCAATACAAGTACCTCACAACATAAAATGAGACCATGGGACCAAAAACAGTGTTGTTACTATTTTCTTGTTTTGTTTTGAGCCAACCTAGCCAAGAGGGAGACTTGGAATTGCTTATTGTCATTAGCCTTTAGCATCCAAGCGAATATGTGTTTATTTATGTGACCATCAAAATAGCTTGTATTTCTCAGGCTTGCCTTTTTACTTGAGTTTATGCTTCATCAAAAAAAAGAGCAACTACACAATTTATTACACAATTGCCAAGTGTAATAAATGCTTTTAAGACTTTCTGCTAAATGCTGATGCCTCTGGATCAGAGTCCTGTTACAGTAGGCCTAAATACTGCAGCAATGTTTGGGGCAGCAGGCCTTTAGAATTATTAACAAAGACAGATAGGACTGTAAAAATAAAGCTCCTAGAAACATGTTTCATCCTGATTTGATTTGTTTAGCAGCTGAGAAGCCCCTGCGGCCACACAATGGGAAACAGACGTCTCTGGACAAGGGCCTCAAGGAGAGCTGGGAACCTTCAATCCATCTGGACGGGAGACCTGTGGACCGCTTCATGATCAGCTCCAGCAAACCGCCAAGGTCTCACCGTCTCACTAAAGTGGGGAGGGACAGTCGTTCGCATCTTCCGGAGGATGTAGGTAAGGCAGAGAGGCAAGAAAGAAAGTCCAAATTAGAGGCCTAGAGAAAGATTGAATGGCTGCGAGTCTGTCAGTATTTGAGATTAAATGATGTAAACAAATCACAATGGAGCTAAAGAGTTTACTGAGGGGCCTTGGGAGTGCTGATAGCATTGCTAGACGAATAAGTAATTCTGAGGAAGATAAATGGACCAATGGAGAGCAAGAAAAAGAGATTTGGCTTGAAGGATGGCGCGAGCTTTCAGATCTTGGAGTTCTGTACTTTCTCAGGGTGAAAGCCAAGAACGAGGCGGAGATGTGCAAAGCTGTGCACGAGCCACAGACGCCAAGAGGTGAGGTGCGTGTATAATTGTTTTTTAGCAGTCAGCGATTAGTTCATCATTGGATGAGCTGTGTCATAAGTTTGCCAGAAAGAAAAAGATGAAGAGCATCAGGGGAGTCCATGTGTATGGTCAGTGATGTTCATCCCAGCCCAGTAGACAGTGGTTATTTCAGGCTTATGAGGACATTATTTTAGGATTTCACTACTTCTTTGGTTATCCTTTTAAACCTTTAGTCTTTATGTTTCAATACACACAGAGTTTGCCGTGTTGACACAGTCTAGCCTGCTTTTGTCATTATTCCATTTTCCTCTGTCCTTGGCTTCTCAGAGCCATACTTCATCAGCAGCTCAAAGTCTGCAGCCAAGCCCGTCTTTTCCACAAACCCAGCCCCGGCTTCTATAAACCAAGCCCCTGTGTTGTGGTCACTTGTTGCGTGTGCAACATGTGTGTTTGGTGGTGACTGTGGTGGAGGATAGGGTGTTGCCAAATGATGAAGTCATGCATTGTCTTGTGTGGTGTGTCAGTGTTCAACATGTGCATATTGATGGGTTTGTGTGTTATGCAAGCATGTGTGTGTGTGTGATGCCCAGTTTGCATCATGGTGTCCTTGTAGTCCTGCCAGCTCTGGCGAAGTTTGATATCAGTAATTGATGGAGAAACTGAAGCTCTAAGTTGCCCTCTCAAAAAATGTCTTGAAGGGTATGTACTGTTCTCCATCAGCAGACGAGGCAGCATCACTCACAATGAATAACATGACCACGCTGCTTCACCCCTCAAATTTAATATGTCTGGCCAGACATTGTTAAACAACAGAGAAGGATGTGAAGAGTAAGAAAGGGGGAGATTAAAAAAAGATGTCCAGTATTCTGATGGAAAAAGGAGAAAACACAGATCATACAAATTTTAAAGTTGTAAATCTCAGCTGACTTCTACCTAAGTACTATTGTGGACATCATTAAACCAAGAATCCTTCTTTTCCAGATCCTGAATGGATTAACTTGGATGGTTTTGCTGTGTTGGGGGGTGGACCTGTCAACAACTCCTCAGCAGGTAAACCTGATCTCAAAGAGAAATCCCTTTAAGTGTTTTACCATCATGATCTCCTGTCAGCGTGGGTATAAAAGGAACCACTGAGTCTATTATGATTCTGCTCTATCCTAAGGGAATATTTTCTTCTTAATGCCGCCCCCAACTTTTCTGTCTCAGTGGGATTACTGCAGAAAACACCCCTTGTCTTTTTCCTGTACATTCTCATCCATTAAGTTTGGTATGCTTTTCTTGCAGGTGAAATTTAATATCTACATAACAGTTTCATGTTTTAGCCTATGCTTCACATGACATACTTGCTTTCACTGATTCAGCAGACTTTAAATAAAAGGAAATGAGTAGCAGTCCAACTGTCTTTTAACAAGACCTGATGTAAGATTTGTCATTTTGTCAGGAATTATCTGCCAACAGTTTTGTTGAACCATGAATAAAGTGAAACCTTTGAATTAAGACCTGGTAAACTTAAAGAAGTGGGACCTTTAGTGTTGGTTTTTGTGCTATTTAGTGGCTGAATGACTGACTGAGTCAGAGAAAAACAAATGTTATTCATAAATAAATCATGACAGACTGTGTTTTCTCGCTAAAAATCTTGAATCTTAGGGAAATCAGATTATCTCCTCATGTGTTTTTGGTTAAAATCGAGCACACAGAGAATTACATAAACTGAAGACAAGACTTGAAACATGTCTGTTGTTGTTTTTTTTTGTCAGTGCAGTGTCATGGGCATTTAGACATGTAAGGCTTTATGGTTATTATAAAAACACAGTGTAGCCTCAGGGCTGATAAAAAAGACATGCACACATTTATGTTCATATAGCTGCAAAAACGATTCAGTCTCTTAACCACTTCAGTTGGCATGTCTTTGTGCCATAAAGGGAACATGGAGAGGAAACAGACAAGTTCCAAAATAAAAGGATCAGCTCCAGTAAAAGAACCCAGGATGTTCTTGCTGTAAGCCGACAGCGCTAACCACAGAACCACCAAGTTCTTATGCAGTTTCTCTTGTATGTGATTGAGACAGGGCTAGGGAGGAGACAAACTTCATTATTTTTGTTGACCCTAACCACAGTTGAAAAATAAGCTGAATAACCACTGTGCACTGGCGGAGTAATGATAGATTACAGGCAAAAATAAGAAAACAATTCAGAGAAAAAAGGGAAAGAAGACATTATATTTTAGAAACTTCTGCTCCCAACTGCTAAAATGTCACGTTATTGTTAGCATTTCAGAGGCAAGCGTTATCTAGCAAGCTTGTAGTCCAAAACACTTCAATAGGATTGAAACGTAATTGTTTTCAGAACCCAGAGGGCATACAACAACCAAACAAAACTAAAAAGATAACTTTCTGAGCCTTAAAGCTCCTGTGAGGAACTTCTAGCTTGTGACAGCTTTGGTGCCCCCTGTTGACAAGCACACTTTGCTTTTCTTGCTGTCCGCATACTCAGGGCCTGATCTACTAAAGGCTTGTGGAAAAACACGTGCAAACTTGAAAGTGCAGGCAAACCTGATCTTCTAACCGAGTGCACCCAAGATTGCGTCTGTCAAATGAGTAAAACAGTGCGCGCAATCGATTTAGCGTGTTTGCCTTCATGAATTTGCAGAATGTATGTAGATCATCAGACAGCACAAAATACTGGGAGGAGCAGATGCAAATGAAATCATTTAGCACCTGTCGCTGTTATGGGTCTATATTTAGCACCTTTGAACGGTATGTGCAAACTGACACAGCGTCACGCATGTTCATTGTGTGGAGAAGGAGGGAGAAGTGCAATAATAGATGACAGAGAGAGAGTCTTCTGTATGCATGTCAACATACTGAGACTGTCAGAAAAAAAAATAGTAGAGTAATAGTAACAGTAATTTTCCTGCGTCTGACAGTTTTTATGAAAAATAACATCAAACACGGAACACACGAAAAAAAAAATGTTTGTCTTATTGATTTTAAATTGTTTTGATTCCTTTTTGATTTCTACTATATTTTCTTTCATCTGTAAAGCACTTTGAGTTGCCTTGTGTATGAATGGTGCTAGACAAATAAACTTGCTTTGCCTTTTATGCAGTTCACCAAAACGACATGTGCAACTCCATGCCTTTAATCTTCATTTTTCATCTACGATCACTCTGCTCTCACAAATTCTCAATGGTGACAGCTGATAGCACATGCAATATCCTCATTTAGAAAGGGCGGTCTGCATGCAATGATAGTAGATCACCCGCAACACGCCCACTAATAGCACGTGCAATTTTTTAGTTTGCACACGCAATTTAGCGTTCGCTATTTGGGATCTTAGTAGATCAGGCCATAAGTGTCTTCTTCTGACATGAAATCTCACCTTGCTGACTTTTGACTGCCAGATAAATCATGTAGTATTTTCTGTCAGATTTATCACTGCATCTTTTTTTTAATCAAAACTCAGATAAAAACAGTTCAGAAAATCCATCATAACTTCTTGTTTTAGTGTAGCCTGTCTGAAATCATCAGGAAAGATTTAATTAGCTGATGCTTCAGTCTTAAAGTAAGCTTTTATAAGCCTAACATATTTAATATGGGCCTACTGCCTATAGCAGATGTTACCTAGCTTTAATCTAAGTTCACTCAAAGGTTAGCTCTGTCTTGTGTTTGTAGAAAATACTGAAGCTTGTTTGACTACACTCTAGAGCTGATAGCATGGCTAGCTGATGAGTTTGTGCAAATTTCGTTTTTGACTTTTGGGTTTGACATTCGGCTAACTTTGTTTTTTTCTTTTGTGGCTCAAAGCCTCAAGTCTTTCCATCTGGAGAGCTCTGCCATTGAGAATTGTTTGTAACAGTGAAACTGTGGCCAAACTGAGCTATGTGCTCCAGTATGACACATAGGCTTCCCGGTTTCTGTTTGAGGGTTTAGATTTTCTGGTGATGAAATGTTAAAATAAATGGATAAAAGACTTGTTTTCTTCAAACTTTAGAGGGGTACATTCTTTAAGCATCAGTCTCAGCACACTGAGGTGTGTCTCTGGAGTAGCACTGGTATGTCTGTCTGTCTGGCTGTCTGGAGGCCCACCTCAAAGCACCTCAGACTATCACGCTTCCAGGAAAAAAACTGAAAATATCTGGCAGTGACAGCATTGTGTAGTCAATGGTTTAGTGGTCCGCGGCATGGTGACCTGGGCCAAACTATGCACTGTGACGCTTTTCCAGAGAGAAAAAAAGAGACAGACAAAAATAAGGAAAAGGAGAAGTCAGCTGATTAAAACCAAATGTCTCTTAAATCAACTGGTGCTTTGAGAGAGAATCAAACAGGTACATTGATATGAAACAGAGAGTTGGGAAATATTATTGTTCAATGTAACCCAAATAGCTGAAGAAGAAGAAGAAGAACTGAAGATACTGTGCCATATTTCCAATCAGTGTGTTATGTCAGCTGGTAATTCAGTTTAGGCTTTTAAGTTGTTGAGACTTTTCTTATATTGAGCAAACATTCTGTAAACCCAACAGGTTTTTAAACTAAATATTTGCTGGTTTCGAGTTTCTGCAAACTAGATTTTGTCATTTGAAAAAATAATCTCAATTTGAAGAATCCGGAATACACAAGCAAGCAAGAACAGAGGAAAGTGTGAAGTGTGGTTTCATATCAGGCAAACAACTTTTGATGGTAGGTGATTGACATTGAATTACATGAGGTAAATTACACAGGTCCATTTGTGGATCCAATCAAAGTTAATTTGACAGATAATCACCAAAACTGTTTCGTCCTATCCCTCTTTGAAACAGAGATTTAGACACAGAGAGAGGAAGACAAACAAAATAACAGATCACCCAAGAAACTACAGGTGCAGAGAAATCTCCGTACTCAGGATGTGAAAACAGGAAAAGCTGAGAGAAAAATCAACATCTCAGAGGAAATGTTGTTGCACTTCCAAACAGCTCAATCCCCAGATCCAAAGTTGAGAAATCTGCTCAGCTGTGCTGACAGGAAAGAGGAGAAGGATCAAAACTTCAAGACAATGATGGAGCGTTTGAAGCCTCCAAGTCTTACCGATCCAAACCCCGATTTTGTCATTAGTGTCATTTCTGGTGTGTTTTCAAACTTCCATTCACGCGCTCTTTGCTGTGCATTAGGTCAACCCTTAACACATCATTTTAGATGTGGTGGCTCACCCTACCTGCTCATTTAAAGGGGAAGCTCACCTTGATTGTATTTCTGTTTCCCTTATGGCTTTGATTTATATCAGATCCTCCTTCTTACATCAGTCGACTTGTCAGAACTCAAGCAGCTGCTCGTCTCACTGTGTTGATGGGAAACAGGGCAAATTCCTTTCATTTGACAGTGATTATGAAGAAAGGATAAAGAGGCGATCTGGGGAGGAGAGAAACAAAGAAAATCAAAGAGAGGGAGGAGATTTTTTGCTGTACTGCTTTCACTCAGTAGTGTAGCCAAATGAAGTTGAATATCTGGTTATTGTTGTCCACCATGGAGTCACCATCAGCACCAGGATGGGACAACAACAGGAAGCAGGAAAGCAGACAGGAATGAATGACATGAGTCATGAGACATGGTCCTGTTCCACCACATCTGCATTTTGTGACAATTGGGCATGTTTATGTTTATTGTTGGGAGAAAGTGACATGTAATTGTGTGTTTATCACTGAGCAGATGTGTCTTGAGTGAAGCAATTATGCTCAATGGTTTTCCGTGACAGATGCTTTCAACAAGGCTCAAAAGGGAAATCAAGCACTGAGCACAGACTGTGAATGGACCATGGTGTTTTGGGGTCAAATGAGCACCACTCACTTTCCCACTCTGACTGTTCTCCTTCATCAACAGGTCCACCCAGGTCTCCACATACTGCCTCCAGAAACCAGCCTGCTGTGCAGAGGGCCACCAGGGTAGATAGGACAGCTCACCCACTGAGCTTGACGAATACAAGAACACACAGGAGAGCCCCACAGTCCTCCTCGGGGCCAAGACAACCTGAGAGAGCACCAGCAGAAGCTCCCCCTTTGGAAAGAAGACGCCAACGCTACACCAAGCCTCAGTCCGACCAGAGGAACCGAAACAATCTCAAACTAAGTAAGGAGACACATATTTTACACTCAACAACCAAAACAAAGAGACAAAACTTTAATTAAATGCAAAAATCTGTTGTTGAAAACACTGTCAGCTCTCAATATACATTTTAAAGATCCTTTTTTTGTGATTTTTCCTTTTTCTTCTTAAAATGTAAGTGTAAACCCTGGCCGTTCCTGGTATCCCTTTCTATTCATAGCATCTGAGTCCGTTCATGTGGTGTCACTGCAGGCACAGAGAGCCCTGGGCCAGAGTGCACCCATCAGCAGAGCAGTTATAACCAAAACAACCACACCAGGTACCTGCAAGTGTAAAGAGAATTACTGCAAGTCTCTACAGAATTAAAGGTCTTAAAAAAGCTAATCATTGGAAAATCATGGAAGTTCATTTTTGTTTATCATGTAAGCCAAAATGAGAAACAAAGAAATTAGAAGCAATTATGAGATTTTTTTTTTTGCTCCTTTTGTCTCTTTGTGTGTTTGTGTGTTATCCAGAGCCACCAGAGTATGAGGCCCGGGACATCAGTGTCAGGGTTATGTCCCCACAGTCAGTTCTCATCTCCTGGGTCGACCCCGCTGTTGAGATGGGCAAAGTTGAACCTGGGTCATCAAGGTGGGAATTTTTAAAAAGAGAGATTAAAACTAACACAGTCCCTCTCAGCTGAAATCAGATATTCATATTTACTTTTTGCTCAGATCCTACACAGTTAGATACAGGGAAAAAGGTGAATCAGCACGCTGGGAGTACAAAGACAACACCCAGAGGAGGATGATGATTGACACCCTGACTGCTGACAGCATGTATGAGTTCTCAGTCAGAATCTCTCAGGGAGGAAATGATGGGAAATGGAGCGTCTCAGTTTTCCAGAGGACCCCAGAGTCAGGTATGTATACTTTCTGCCTGCTTGAGGAGTTAAAATTTGTATGTAGCAATGCAGCTTAAAGAAGAGTGATGAATGGTGATTACTCCTTCATGGGAACAGCTTCAGAGGGCCAAGCCTGTATTTTTACTGAAGATATAAATGACAATGTATTCATGAGGAAATGATTTCAATCTTACATAATCGTGTCTGTTGGCTATGAGTAACATTTCCTCATACTACACTTCATCATATTCACTACCTATTACTCCCAATTGATATTTGATTTGAGTTTTGGCTGCCGCCCTGTCATGATATCAGTTTTTACACCATGTCATAGCAGCCCCAGAGCTGCGGTTCATTGGAATGTCAGTATTTACTGCCTGGCTCACAGCTTACATTTCCATCCGCACTTTCATACATGATCTCCGGGGCAGGTTCCTGACAATGTATGGCAGCATTACTTCCCTTGTTTGAAGCGTCCTGGCACCCACATCCCCCTTGTTTTTACAAGCTTTAAGGAGAAATTTCCTCACCCTGTTCTCTCTATACTGCTTCTGGTTTCTGCCCTGCTGCTCCTCCTTTCACTCCCTTTTCCTTTACTCATGTGCTCTTTCTTTCTAGCTCCGTCTGGACCACCAGAGGATTTTGATGTCAAACCACTGCGAGGGAAAGGAACTGCTGTAAAAGCAACATGGGAGCCACCTGAAGAACCCAATGGGAGGATAAGAGGTCAGGTCAAGGTTGAAAGAATGAACATATGAGTAGAAAAAAAAAACTTATTCTCAATGATATGATTTGTTTATTTTATTAACAACAGTTTCCTTTATGAGTGTTTCGTAGTCAGCTTGAATATTGGATTTGTGGATTAAGGTCAGCACTCTCACGTGACTGATACACATGTTATCACCCAAGAACCAGAAACATTTTCCTTGGTACTGGCATGGGATTCTGCCAGGGTACTTGTCATGTTTGCTTTGGTGTTTTTGTGCCTCTGTAATTGTCTGCAATGGTGCAGATCGGTGCACTGGACCAGAGATAGAATAATAGCGAGACAAACATGGTAAGCACCCCAGAAGAAACCCCATACCAGTACCAGGTAAAATGTTTCTGGTGAGGAACTGTAAATATTATCTCAAAGTTGTGACTCTCATTGATGGCGCTTCTGTTGGGTCTTCTTGTTGGGTCATGAACTGTTGGTAAAAATTCTTTTATGAGGGCCAGTGTTAAAGCAAGCCTGTTTTCGTGATTACTCCAATTTTTTGAGCAGATCATGAAGAAGAAGTTGGCAAAAACAGTTGCCTTATTGGTCCTCCAACGCTGGTGTACAAGATATGCATTTGTGTTGTGATGGGCTCTGCAACCAATAACAGAGCAGTTGGCATGCCTGGCTTTAGCCTTTGACTTCTTGTCCCGGCAACACTGAAACAAAACCCCATTAGCAAAGGGAGAAGGGACATTATTCAAGGAGTAAGAGTAGTTTGCATGCATGCCTACACAAAACTGTTCCGTCTTTGCATCACAACAGGGGCCAAGTCTAATGACCTTGTTGAAGCTTTGTTTTCCTTGTAGGTGTGCTGCAATAACAATGCAGAGGCCTCTTCCTTAATGCTTCCACAATATCAGGAATGCTCGGCTAGAGGATGAACAGAATGTCGGAACAATGTGTTTTTTATTTTATGGGATCTGCAAAGACTGATTGGTCTACAGGGCATGCCAGATCTAACCTTGAGTTGTACTGTCTTTAAACCCCCCTGAGCCTCTGTAATCAGTTTATCAACTCTGAACCCATTTTGACAGCTGACAGTTGTCTATATCCTTACCTCCACACAGAGTACATCCTGTCCTATGCTCCTGCTATGAAACCATTTGGAATGAAAAGCTTGACATATCGGGGAAGCATCACCTCAGCCACCATAGAGGGCCTCACACCAGGAGACCGGTACATCTTCAAGATTAGAGCCACCAACAGGAGAGGACAGGGACCACAAAGCAAGGCTTTTAGTGTTGTCATGCCAGGATGTAAGACCGTTTAGCCATCTTTAGTAGTAGTTTGCATGTATCCTTGTAAATTTGATGAATCTTTCATTCATGGCAATTTTTTGTCTACTGCCAGCCAACAGTGCTGCAACATCATCATCAAAACCCAAGGACAGCAGCAGGACTCGCCACACTCCCTCCAGGCAAGATACTGACCATGAGGAATTGGACCTTCAGCCAACTGAGGTCCCAGAGGAACCAACTACAACAACTCCCCAGCCACGCCCAGCTGCACCTGCCAGTAGACGTGTTAGGCCACTTTCTCAATCACGCTCATATCACAGCATCTTCTCCTCTGTAAGGGGATCAGGCAGAAACCCAGTAAACAGAGGGTCATCTCGAGGAAGAGTGCAAGACAGGGAAGAAAAGGAAGAAGAAGAAGAGAAAATACCTACAACACCACCTCCAGTAGAAAAGACAACAACAATGGAGGTGGTACCAGAGACAAAAGAACCGGATAATGATGTTTCTCCTGAATCTGAGGATGAAGTTGGATACGATATAGAGCCCCAGACCACTGAGACCCCTAGTCTCAAAGTTTTTGAGCCTTCCCCAACTAAACCTGTATCTGCTCATCCCAAACCACCGAGACGTCCCATCAAGATCAGAGTCCATCAAAAACCTGGATCCAAAACTCATTCATCCTCCTCATCCACCTCTTCATCTTCTTCGTCTTCATTGTCCTCTTCTGGCTCCGCTTCTGCAGGTTCCTCTTCTCAATCTTTGTCCCCTACTTCCTCCTCTTCTTCATCATCCTCATCATCCTCCTATTCACTTTCCCCCACCTCTGGTATACAGGAGTCAGAAGCCAGTAGAAAGGACTTAGAGACTCCCACGTACTCTGAGGGCAAGAATACCTATCATACACCAAGCATAACTCAAACAAAACCCTCCACCCCTGTCATAAAAGAGACTAATCCACAGCAGACAGAGTCTACATCTGTTGGTAGAGGTTCAGCGCCAACAGGGCGTGCCAGTGGGTCTGGATTTGGCTCCAGATATGGGTACAGTCGAAGACATCCAGGTATTTTGTTTAGAGGGAATTCAACAAGATTGCTGAATGGTTACAAACCTGCAGTCACCTCACAGTCCAATTTACCAAACAGAACTCCAAACCAAGCAACTCCAAACACACGTGATTCAGCAGTATCACAGTCCACTACACCAGAGAGGACTCAAAACCACCAAACATCACAAACTCACAATTCCGCAACATCTAGGTCCCCCACAGGAAGTGGCAGCCAGAACCAGGTCACATCAGATACATATAATACACAAGGTTCTTCACATACAACCTCACACAGCACACAGGGTTCCCACTCATTACCAGAGCAAGACACGCAGATCAGAGAAGGTGATGATGACAGTACCTCTAAAAATGCAGATACCAGTTCACAATTAACTAAAGTTAAGGGGCCTACCTCAAGTTCCAGACCACAACCAACGGAGGAGGAGCAAAGGGAAGCAGGTGGAGAGGAAGGCAGCAGTAATGAAAAATCTGTGGTTCCTCCTCGTACCAGAGTTAGCCCCTCATTTGCTGAGAGATTCCCTTGGCTAGCCACTCGTTATCCAGGCAGGTTTGGTACAGGGACAAGAGTGTCATCATCCAGGCACGATAGTAGGAGCTCCTTAACCAGGACTACCTCTGCTATTGGGGTTGGCAGACCTACCAGAGTTTCAGGGGCCACCGGTGCTGCAGGAGTGCCAACTATACAGGAGACGAGTGAAGATCTAAGGACTTCTTCTACTCATGACTCCCTCAAGAATGGGGATGGAGAGGGTCCTGTTAAACCATCTCTGACAAATCAAAATACAGCATCTAGGAGTAATGGAAACCCAACTACCTCATCATCTTCTTCCCCATTGAATCCAGATCCCCGCCATTCCTTGAATGGACACAGAGACTCAAGTGAGCCCATTCATCAAGAAACCACAGAAAACGATAATAACAATCACGATATGGCTTATCTAAATGAGGGGAGTAGACGAAACAGTGATAAAACTGATCAATCAGCAGATACCACAGCAGCCCAAAAGAATCCTGTTTTAACTTCAGCAGACCCTCATAGGACTGTTGAGGACAATGAGAGTGCAGGTACAAGGGAAACTTCCTCTGGAACAAGACCTGGCTTAACATCTGGAGGAACTCAAACTAATCGTCGCACTGCTGTTGGGTCAAATGGGAGGGGACGCTCTCCTTTTTTTACCAGCAGGCAGTCTGGTGGATCAAGGCTTCCTGTCAGACCGCAGCCAGCCCAGAACTCAAGGGTGGGCTCTTCAATGACAGATTCCACATCATCGTCGTCATTATCATCATCTGGCTCTGTTGCATCCTCAAATGTGCCACAGCCAGTCCTGACTTCAGATCGGGACAGAAGCACTGGAATGACTGCAACACGAACAGGGGGATCGATTGGGAGCAGCGCTCAGTCCACATCTTCCTCCTCTGCATCTTCATCGTCATCATCAAGAGACAGCTTTAGGGGCCTGGGGGGTAGGACTCGGTATCCAATCACCAGAGGGAAACCAACTAATGGTGGAACTTTCAAGCCTGCCAATGGAAATGGTAGGGTACATTGGTTAACTGCATTTAACTGAAAGGTATTGCTAATTTCAGCAATTATTTCTCCAAAGAGGAGGATTGTTGCACTGTATTTATGTATGTTACTGCATTTAGTTTCCTTGTTTAACTGAACCACTCTGCTTATAATGTCTAAATGACAGGTAAAAATGGACGACCTAACCTGACAGCAGCAAATGATAAAGAGTCTTCACCTTCTCAGGGAACCAGTAAGGCTGTTGGTCAAAGATTCATCACTGGACCTGATGGAAGCAAATGGGTAACTACAGTCAATGAACTGATTGTAACCAGTGTTGTAACGTCCCAAGGTGTAGCTAGTCTTCAGGCTGCATACATTTTTTAGCACCTGTTTGGAACATAGGTCTATCTAACATTTCACTTTGATCGCTACCATGCCAGCTTAGCTAAGCCTCAAGGTGCTTCAACTAGTCTGCCAATGAATCACACCCTGCTTGTGGTTAATGCACCTTACTTCGGTGATAGCTTGTTTTATAGTTAGTGATATTAGAGCCCACCCACTTCAAGGGAATTTTTGATTGGTTAATCTGACTTTCTTTTGAACTACTGCTGGAAGACCCTCAGTTTTATTGCCGGACCACTAATCACAGAGCTGGAACTGATGTGTTTTCTTCCAGCAAAAGTACAAATGGAAAGTTCTGGCAGGCTAACAAGCCAATGTCTTTCATATGACCCTTCATATTCCAACAGAGACTAAAAAAGTGTTTATTTTTCCCAAAATGACGATTTGATCATTGACTTTTTTTTTTTTCAAAATAGGACTTAAGAGGCTGTCACCTGGGGCCTAAGATCAGTTCTGTACAGACATAAGAGCGACATTAATCCAATAGTCTGAGATTCAAGAAATGCTGAAGGTCTCTATTAAGAATTAATTTGAACAGTTTGACTGATTCTGTATGGGTGAATAAAATTGACCTCACTGAATGAATGTAGGAAAATGGATTTCTGTTTTTAACCTGGCGGATTTATTTTTCCCTCAGGTTGTGGACTTGGAGCAGGGGATTCTTATGAATCAGGATGGACAAGTTCTTCAGGACTCCAATGGCAAACCCAAGAGAGTTGTGCTTGGAGAGGATGGACGCACAATATTTGGTGATATATTCAAAGATGTTTGTAAAATCAGCTACTTTAATCATGATCATTTTCTGTCATTTTATTCTGTTTACCTTCTTCTGTTTTTTTAATCCCACCATCAGACCTTATGGGCAGTCCTCTGGTGAACCAAGAAGGTATGGCTCTGTTTGGTCATGGCAGAGATAGTCGGCCTGTGGTCAACCCCAAAGACAAAGTCCTCATGGTAGGAGGGAAACCAGTGGTTGGTTTGGACCTTCCTCACCACAGGACCACCACTACCACTACCACTACCACCACCACAACCACAACCACCTTGGCTCCAACCACCACACCTGAGCCCACCACTACTGAGTGGATTATAGAGGAGTCCACAACTGAACCACCATTCCCAACTTGTCCACCTAAAACCTACTCAAAAAAAGACGAATATGGGTATCCACTGCTTGACCCAGAGGGGATATTGGACTGTTATCCAGAAGGTGAGTCACTACAGGGGAACAGCTCTTAAAATTCACCTCGACAGGCTGGAACAACATTTTGCAAGAGTGATTTGAAGACAAATGTAGTGAACCAGGAATGAAACAAAACACTGCTTAGCCCCAGCATGCAATATTCAAAGTGAGTAGCCGATCCAAAGCACTAAAGTTAGGCTCATTTGAATGTTTTGGAGCCAGAATAATGACCACAAAGAAGTATGACTTCATGAAATCTAACACTTGTATTGTTCATCATAGCCATTTCGGCCAAAATCCTGAATGTTCCCTGACTGTACCCACAGATCCTATAACTCTGTATGTCAGGACTGTGCGATCTGATCTCTGTTTGTGTGTATGACTGAGAGACCACAGGAGATCTCAACGTTTAGCCTATGGTCAAAATACTTAAAGTTATTTGGCAGGGACTAAAAGTTGAACACATTTATCAGCACTAGCATTCGGGTTTTATTTCTGAACACAAGGCATGAAATCGGAAAAGAATAATACCAAACCACATGTGTCAGATTCTCCTTATGTCAGGCTGATAACCTTGTGGCTTGCTATACATATATTGGGCATCCCTACTTGTTAGTCAAGGTTTCAAATTAATAGTCCAGTAGCAATGCTTCAACAAACCTTTACAAGTTTAGGGTTTTAGCATAAAGGGAATATAACTACATATTTCCCTTTTACTATGGGAGCTATAAGAAAAGTGATTCTGTGACATATCTTTGCTGATGTCTCAGAGTCTCATTACATCTGTTTGTGCTAAACAATACATCATGTGTTTAAATGAATTTGTCTTTATGGATGGGTGTACATGCCTCAGAGTCTATGCGAGTTCAGAAATGTGAGATAGAAATGAGACTGATGCTACAGCTTGTTCTGCTTCTCTGACAGAGGAATCCTCAGGAATGGAAATGGACCACATGGTTACAGTGACCATGGTGCCTGATGCTTTAGCTCTTGAGAAAGGTATTGGCTGAGTTTGGCTTCAAATCAACCAACCACCACCAGGCTGGGACAGACGAGACTGCGCTGCATGCTGGTGTTTGTTGTGTGTGTGTGTACTGAGCTGTTGTTTATTGACTGTCTGTTTATCTGTGGGTAAATGTGTTTGCTTTCTTTTCTGGTCTTTTCTGGTGGTCTTTGCTTTGCTACTCTGCTTGTGAGTTTGTTTGAGTTGGTATTGGTTCATTGCTGTGTTTTTTGGATATTTTCCATGATGGGCTGTTTTTAATCCCTTTTATTCCAAAATATTTTCACCATGGTGCATGTGAACTGCATTACTAAGCTGAAGAGAATGCTGTGAGTTATGATTTATTCCTCTGTGTTTGCTGTTCTTATCATTGCTTTTCAAAGTAATAAAAGAGCCGCAGATTCAGGCAAACACTAGCTTAATGCAAAACTGCATATTTGCCTGATGTAAGACTTTGATATGCCACCAAACTACTGTAAATGGATCTCTGAAGGAATCTGTTGCATGTGAGCAGCATTTTAAGTTCTTCTTTGTTCTGGTTTCTCTCCATAAAAGACACATTAAGCATTAAAATGTCTCCTTAGCATTTCCCTGCCATGGCTCAAAGCTGGTTGCATGTGTGTGAACCATGATGTAATGCCTAGGTTCACTGATGCAGCACAGGGAAAAAAATGTGATGAAAGACAATGGAGGGTGAAGCTAATTGAATTTCACCCACTGAATCTCTTCAGATTTTTCGACCTCGGAGACTTGTGAGACAGTCAACGTCCTGGAGTCCCCCCTCCCTTATGGAAAATAAAAAATATGGTTAGCAAAACTTAGCGTAAGAATGCAGCTTTGGGTGTTCAGGGAAGCACAAATGGGGTGGCCTTAAAGTAAGCTCACACATCTACCGGGATGTGAACCAATTTGGCACCTGATCCTGCTGCCACTTAGAAAGAAGTAATGAAACACTGCGGCCTGTGGGAAATTTATGAAAGTGAATCATGAAATCCTTGCTGATTAAAAAGCTCACTGACACGTGTGTTGTTGCCAGATGAGCTATTTGTCCAGACCACGCTGCCAACAACTACCACCACGACAACCACCACCACCACAGAGAAACTCCCAGAGCCAGACACCCGACCCAAGAACCAAGGCCCTTCATCAGAGTTTGACCTCAGCGGGAAGAAGCGTTTCACAGGTAGGCAAAGACAAAAATAAGCATGTGTCTATCAACATGTGCACATCACTCCTGGCAAAATGTGCTCCTCTCTGTCTTTGTTCAGTGTTATGTAATCTCTCACATAGCTCAGCCTTGAGTTCATTTTGCAGTTGCAGTAAACTTGCTTGGTGGATTGGTAGTTAAAAAAAAGACCATTTGTATCAGTCATACAGATAAATAATAAAGCTGTGTTTACAGCTGCACAAAATTCCTGACAACTCCCTAAGATTTTTATACGGGAATACAAACAGCCAAAATTTTCACCATGGTTTTATCTGGAGTTTTTCCTGGCAGCACCCTAGTGAATTTCCAAAAGAAGTCAGTCTGTGCCAGCTGGATTAATTACAGAAAATTCACCACAAGTGAGCCTGCAGGTGGGGACAATGACATTTATTTTGTGCAAGTAAATTGAAAGCATGACACATAACAGGATGAATAAAAACAGCTGAGGCCGAAGAAGGCGAGTCAGTCTTTAGATGAGAACAGCCTTTGGATATGTCAAGCTACATGTGACATTGATATGGGTGTAAAATTACCATCATAGAACTGGACTATGATGCTGCGTCTGCCATCATATTGTGGACAATTCTTTGTGGCTTTTGTGGCATGCTTTTGATGTCATGTCCTGTAATTTGTGTAATTTGTAATTTGTGAAGACTTCATGTTGTGAGACATGTAAACAAGCATTTTTGGAAAATGTCAGTAGAGAGCATGTGTGAAAGAGGCCTAAACTATACCTTTGTCTAATGATTTTCAAACGACTAATTTTCCTCATGAGTAGCAACATATTTCCCTTACTGATAGTTTTCTTCTTTAGAGTTAGATTTTGGGTTTGTATCTGTAGATCACTTTAATATCAGAACTGATATGACATTACTTTTATGCATGGATGTTTTTTTTTTTCTCTTTCCAGTGCAACATTGTTATTGGTTTCTGTGAGCTCAGTTTAGTGGACATGCATGAAAACCACACATATTTCCTCACCCAAACTCATAATACCGGCACATGAATCTCCTGGAGTCATGTTTTTAAGCGTCTCTGTTCTTGAGTGTGTGTCTGCATGTGTGTGGTGGAGGTCTCTTGGTGCAGTAAATAATGACAGGCTGATGGGAGTTGTGTTTTGGTTCATGGAGGGGTAATAAAACTGGACCTCTATCTTGGCTTGGCTGTGTCAGCAGTTCCTCATAGATATATGACCCTTTCAGACATTACATGAACTATTGGCAAAAAGAAGAAAAATTCTTTCATTTTTTTCAATGAATGTTATATTTTTTATGCATCTGTGTCACCATACAGGCACTTTTGCAGCTACACACAATCTGCATGTGCTATAACAAGCACTTCATAGACTCTTAAAATACATGTATGCATGCACTTTTTATGGATGTATAAATCTCTTTGTGGATAGTTTGAATCTTAAGTAGCTCATTTAATTGGTTTCTTCTAGCCATATTTCCATCATAACATCAAAGTTCAAGGAGGACGTAATGTTCATAGTCTCCTGACTTGATCCCAGTAAACTCCAGCCCCCTGCTGCAGTTTTACTGTTCTTACGTGCTTACTTTGGCCTCTCATAGCCCATCGCCTCATCCTGGTTGCACAAACAGACTGCAGAATTCTCCAAAAAGAAATAAAAAACAGCATCTTCTTGACTCTAACCTTCTGAAAAATTACATAATCTCAGAGACCTTTTCAGAACTGCTCTGTTTACTGGCTGGACTATTTTGTCTTTGTAGATTGCCGGCCTTCAAAATACTATCTGTGAAGATGCTTTTACCACAAACTTTAACAAGGGGTAATACTTTAGAACCTGGAATTAGAGTTTTTTTCATTGTTCAAACAAAGGCTTGCTACTCACTCAAAAAGCGAGATATCTACAAATAACAGAGTGGTTATGAATTATGCACATACACTCTTGAGACAACAAACCACAAAATGCAGTTAGCCTCTTCATTACTGGAAAAGCTGCAGTGCATTTTTCCGCTCATACCAGGGCCGTATGGATGAGGGTGTATGGATTGTGAAATAGTACCATGATGTTCCTCAAATTTTTATGTCTTACATTTGTTGCTTGTGCGGTACTTGAGCAGTTGGATAGTGGACAGTAGACATTGTCTGTGGTTTCTTAGGCTATGTATTTCTCTGTATGTAGATTGTTGTAACTTTGATGTATTTTTGTCAATTGTTGTTATTTTGAGAGTGGTTGAGCATTGGCAGCGCTAAAGTACAAAAAGAGATCTATTGCCATTTTATATCAGATCAGATCATATTGTATGACTGTATTGCCCTCTATTGAATCATATTGTATCATAATGTATCAAATTTTGTTTACCCTGTAGCTTGCCAACTAATTTGCCATCTCATTCATCTTGTCTCGTATCTTATCACATCTGATCTTGTCAACTCATATCTTGTCATATTGTGTGCATCATATTATATCATATCTTGTAGTTTCGTATCCTATCATATAGTATGGTATTGTATGGTATTGTATCGTATTATATCGTATTGTATCATATTTTATGGTACTGTATGGTATGGTATTGTTTCGTATGGTACTGTATGGTATGGTATGGTATGGTATGGTATGGTATCAAATTGTCAATGTAAATTTAGCAATAAACGTAACTTTCTTATATTTCTGATATGCTGTAGGGGCTGTCACCTGGAAAACTGAAACTGAATAAGTTAAATCAACTGATTAAAGAATACATCAGTAGCACAGAACATTATTTATGAGTCAGACTTCAATGACAACAAGAGACTTGCAGAGGGGAAGTTTTTAACACAATAGATGAGAAGCTCAATAAACTTTATGCTCTTTTGTCTTATGTATGGATCAAGTTCAAAACACTGGATGATTCACTTCCCATTATGTAACTCAAGCCAAGAAACGTGACTGGTGACCCATGACTAATCTAACAAGCATATCAACAAAAACAGTAAATTAATTAGAAAAAGCTGCTGAAGCACCCTTAAAGTGATGAACAGATTCTGGTCTGTCATAAAAAGGCGTTTTATGAGTGTGAGTCTGTTTCTTGTCTAAAGATGTGGACTGAACAGTGATTTAATGCTTCTCTGTCGTGTGCAGGCAAAATAAACTGAAGTTGTCACTGTCATTTCTATTGATTGTTATGAGGAACTTTTAAAAGGCCAGATTTATTGCCTTGCATTTTTCATTGCAGTGTCATAACTATTGATAATGTCAGCTGCAGAAACAAAAGGACACCATGTATCTTTGTAAACAATAACTACCTTGTGATCACACGCCTCTCATCTGAAAGTTATTATCCTCCCCGGGACATAAACAGGCGAGAGCACGAAAGCAGTGGAAATCATAGAAGTTAGGGGTGCTGACTTCAGCATGGAAAGCAGGCTGTTCTGGCCTGATGCAGACATCCTCTTTCCTATTTATTACTTTCATATATTTTAGATCCACCTCAACTGTCAGCCAGTCAACTGCCATGCTTTGCATGAACTGTCTGACAAAGACTTCCTCTCCGTCTACTTCTCTGACGATGGTTTTGTTTGAATGAATCCCATCAAAGCAGATGTGGGACATGAAGTATTAACTAATAATCTTTAGCAGTTGCTTGAATCTGCTTTACAGTACATTACAGATGGATGGAGTTTGCCACATTAGATTAGAAAATGAGTACCAGGATGTTTGGACTATTAGGATGCTAATTTATGCCTCACTAGACTGATGTAACAGCTGACATTATGAGAACTGTCCCGATCCTGTGTCCCAATGAGACTTGATCCTTGTCGGCTCACACATGCCACGTTTTGTCAGTGTTTTTGATTTGTTTTCTTCTTCTTTTTTTTTGAACAGGCAGAAGAAGTCTGTCTCTGTTGGGAGGTGCTTTCAATGTTGAAAAAATGTGCACATGAAACATCTGGATCGCCTGTTTGCATGAGCCTACACAGATCCTGTACATGTGACACGCAGCCTCACTAGACTCTGACACATAAATCTGAAAACCATGCGACAGATCATGTATTTGAGAGTACAAGTGTGTGATGTATAAGCCATACACTTACAGTAGGAGCTTGTAGCAGCCTAAAGCCTCATAGTCTGTGTGTCAATGAGCAGACTCTGACACGTGTTAGACTCTTGGCCTGCGCAGAGAGCCAGTCATCTGGGGAGGTGGGAGCCACTCCAGGCTCCAGTGGCTCCCTCCAAATCACAGACAGACTAGGAATTGTGGGAAATCTGAAGTATTCACAGCTGTAGGTCCAACTGGCATTTCCAGAGTCACTGGAAACAAACAAAAAGAGAGGTGGAGAGAAAACAAGAGAAGATAAGGGGTGTTTAAAGGATTGACCAAGCAAGGGTAATAAATCTGCTAAATGTGTGCAACATACCTGTTTGTCCCTGTAGGATCAGAAATTTGTTGATAATGCAAATTTAACATCCAACCTTGGTCCTAATTGCCTTTAACAATAAAGTATTTTGTTAGAGGATTTTTAATTGATCTTTTCCCTCAATTTGCCCTGCCTGCAGCTCCCTATGTGAACTACATCAGGAAGGACCCAGGTGCTCCTTGCTCCTTGACAGAGGCTCTGGAGTTCCTTCAGGTCGACGTCCTCGAAAGCCTGATGAAGAACGACAGCCTGGCCGCCAACCAAAACCAGCCGCCCAAAAACAAGCCACATAACCTCACTGTGGTGGCCATGGAGGGCTGCCACTCGTTTATTATCTTGGACTGGGCCCGCCCACTTAAGGATGACATGGTGTCAGGTAAACATCCCTCCTGCACGTCAAGATGATGTATATTTGACAAGTTTAGCAAAAATAAGAAGTGTACAAAGGCTGTAGTGATTAGACCCCACTGTAATTTCCTTGAGTATTCAAAGGGGTAGTTACGGCAGAGAGCATTGAGTCTAGACCCTGGTTGAGATGGTTAGGAAAGGTTGTGGAGCTGGAGCTGACTGGGGTAGAGGAGGTTTACAAGGACTGAGCCAAAAACTATGACTGAAAATGAAAACAAAGGAGAACAGATTTCAGATTTCAGATTTCAGATTTCAGCAGCAAAGGATGATTAATCAAGAGAGTTTGAGACTAAATCTGCATTGGTTTTGCCCTTAAAAGAATTCACACCCATGATTAGCTGATCACCAAGACAGGAAGACGCATGAGGGAAGGGAGATTGATTGAGGGATTGAAGTGAATGGATGACGACTTAAAGACCCACTCTGATGAAAATCATGGTTTTCTTGTTGTCTACATGTTCATATGGCATTTTTCTAATGCTACAGGACATATCATGAGAAAAGTATATGCTAAATGGCATTTCTGATTATTTCTTCATTTGAATCGCTGTTGATTTCTGGCAGACCCAAATGGCAGGTTCAGACCATAGACTGTATATATTATGGACAACTTGGTTCCGCCTTCTGCCAGTATACAGATTTGAAGCTGAAAAACTCTCGGTAATTCCGCGTTTTTTCTCAACTTCCTGAAACCAACATTGTGCAGTAGCATTGTACGCATTCAGCGGGAGAGACACAGAGAGTCGAGGTGATGACACTCGGCTTAAACAGCGTATTCCTCGGGTGAGCCATGCAATCTTCGTACGCCCATAGGCTGTAAGTGTCAATCATAGAAAACATGAACCCCCTAATAACTTTTAAAAATGAAGCTGTACAGAAAAAAGAGGACTTGAGCACAAACCAGTCTTACATTAACTACATGTCAACATGTCATTGCAAGCAGGGGGGAAAAAAATTATATTTTGTGTAATAGATTTCTAAAGTTTGTCCACAGCTCCATTATAATGGCTGGCGGAGGCAGGATTTATGACCTATACTGCAGCTTGTCACCAGAGTGTGCTATTCTCGGGGTGGCTTCACCCAGCAAGGAGGCAGACGTTGATATAGTCTATGGTTTAGACACAGTAGGACTTCCTACTTAGCAAATCTAAGCTCCGCCCTGGAGCCCCACTATGCAAGCCAGATTTGGAGAAGTAGAGAGGACAATCGGGGAACAAGCGTGTATTAGCGGATTACAATGCTTGTAAGAAAGCTAATTATGATATTAACTTTCATCGTGAGTGTCCAAGAACTAAATAGCTCCTTTGTTACCTGCCACTTCTACTACACCGGCAATGTTAGGCTGCAAGCTAGCATGAAGAGTGGTGTGCAGAGCAGCGCTGTCTCCGCCCATGACTCAGAGGTGATTTGCTAATAAGCTACTGAAGCTCTGCAGGAGAAAAGCCCTTGAAAATGACATTCTCTACAGATTCAAAAGGGTTCAACATTTTAACATAAATTCGACTCTGGTGAGGAAAACAGCCAATCACAGTTTAGGGTGTGGAGATTTTAAATACTACACTGTATCAGGTTATCTTATTTCTAAATAGCCAATCATAGTTTGGGGTTTTGGCCAATGCCACTCTTTGATTAAACCACCCAGTACTTCTCTGGAATAAAAATAAAGAAAACTTTACTTTTTAATAACAGTCTTTGTGCAGAGTAGTTGCTATTGTCCTTAAATAAACTACATTCCCACTTCAGACAAATTTATGAGGGAAAACAGAAAGCTAAACCACACAAGATACAGTATATTGTAGCTCTGTTTCTTCTCTGTTTAGGTTAATGATTTAACATGCTACTAGCATCCCAACATGACTGAGATTTTTAGAGCTCACTCAGGCTGTTTGGTGTCAATAAATCACTATTAGACCCAGACTGCATTGAAAACACTGAACGTCTCCTCAGCTCAGATGTAGATTCCTGTTACCTGGAAAGTGACTCTGGGGATTAAAGCTGACAGAGCGGAGACTGACACTGACAGCATACTGTACGAGACATATTAGACAGGCTTGGGTTTTCTTTGGCAGGAAAACATAGCTCCTGGTCATGCTGTGGGCTTGTGTGTCCTCTGATGTGTAAAACAGAAAGTTGGTCTCTTTGTCTCCCTAAGTGGAGTTCCCTTAAACACATACTGGAATTTAGTAATTTTGCTCTATTTCTTTGTTTTCTCCTATTTGAAGTCATTTTTCTATGTCCTTGTTTATCTTGGATTGCATGCAGCATTCCAGATACTATTTTATTACATGTGCTCTAGTGTACTTAAAGAGTTCCTGTGCTGTAATATAATGACAGTAAAGATATGTTGGCCAAAAATCTGAACCTTATCTGTGAATTTTCCATATAAACTGTGGATGGAAGTCTTGCAAAGGCATCTCGATATGTGAAGCAGACATGGTCAGATTGTCTCACACATGCAGATACAATCACAAGGCGCTGTTTTAGTTATCAGAGCATGTTTGCACAACCTCTTCTTACGAGTTATGGGTCACGGCTTTCAAAACAAGTGGATGGAAACAGCTGGTATCACACCAACTCCAGAGATGAGTGACATCGGTATGAGTTTTTGGGAGAACTCTGGTTCTTTGTACTTTGATGCATTGAGGATCTTTTGCTTAAAGGATTTGAGCAATAAAGACGCCTCATTCTCTTAGTTTGAGAAGCTGTGCATTGAGCAACTCTAAGAGAAACATTTTGGATTAAACCCAAAAAGAAGTCGTGCACAGAAGCAGATGGGAAAGACGGGAATCTAAATACTACTGTGTAAAAATTTTGTTGAAAATTTTAGAATGGAGAAGGAATAAAAAACCAGAAGAAGGAAAATAAAGTATCTAGTATTTCCTCTCTTCTGTCAGCAGCCAGCTGTGTTGGTGAGGCTCCAGTCAAAATAGAAACCCTAAACTCTAAAGTCCAATAGAAACAGTTTGTAGTTTGATGTGCTGCAGAGCTGGTCTCTATAGGTTTAGGAGAATCATGGAGAGCCGCGTGACCTGGAGATGCTTACAAGAGTCTTAGGATAAGTCTCTTTGACAGGAAGAGGAAGAAACAGACTGGGAAGTATGAAGAAGAACAGTCAGCATGGATAATAGTTTGTTTTTTAAACGTGACACGAGATGAAGGATTTCAAAATCAAATGTTAACAAGAAAGTTTCACAGTCTGTGTCGAAGTACGAGTAGCTGGGTTTGCTGTCTTTGGACAGAGCTAAGCTAGCTGTTAAACTAAACTCTGATTCCATGGTTTGTATTGTAACTTATCTGAGACAGTGTGGTGGAGATTTTCTTCTCATCAAACTTTTGGCAAAAGCGTGATGAGATTCCTTTAGAGCAGAGGAGTGCTGGGTGGTTTGGGCCAGAATCCCAAACTATGATTGGCTATTTAGAAATAAGATAACCTGATACAGTGTGATGTTTAAAATCTCCACACCCTAAACTGTGATTGGCTGTTTTCTTCACCAGAGTCAGAATTCATGTTAAAATGTTGAACCCTTTAAAGTCTGTAGAGAATGAAGCCTGGACGCTTTAAATGTTGCCACTCTGTTGTATTTCTCCCCAAAGTCCCTCTCAGATTGTTTTATTTTTTTTTTACTACTTAAAGTGTTCTCAATGGTCTTTAAATTGTGATTATAAAGTTTTTGGCCCAAATCACTTTACCCGTGTCATTTTCAAGGGCTTTTCTTCTGCAGAGCTCCAGTAGCTCATTAGCAATTCGCCTCTAAGTCGTGGGCGGAGACAGCACTGCTCTGCACACCACTCTTCATGCTAGCTTGTAGCCTAACATTGCTGGTGTAGTAGAAGAATCAGCTAAGATAGGGGCTATTCAGCTCTCGGACACTTGTGTCTTTGGGGACATGGTGAAAGTTAATATCATAATCAGCTTTCTTATGAGCATTTCTATCTGCTAAGACACACGTTTGTTCCGCGATCATTCTCTCTACTTATCCAAGTCCGGCCTGCAGAGCTGGGGTAGCGGGGCTTGCATTTGTGACGTGGGAAGTCTCACTGTGTCTGAACCTGTGGTTTGGGTCAACAAGAGGTTCACAGTGATTCAAATGCAGAAATACTGAGAAATGCAATTTCACACTTATTTTTCTTATGATCCTGTAGCATCAGAAAAATGCCACATGAACATGAAGACAACAAGAAAATCATGATTTTCATCAGAATAGGTCTTTAAATGAAAAAATCAAAGAATTTATACCCAAGTAAGTATTTGAAGTAAAGAAGCAACCTGCAACCTCATGTTTTTAAATATGAAGTCCACAAGTAGGGATACAATTTTATTGATAGTATACCATTATTGTTTCTGCTTGATCCAAATTTCTATCAACTCCTTAATTTTCTGTGTGAATGACAGGAGGCTTATACCTGTTTTTCTGCATCAACAACATAGATTTTTAAATTTTATTACCTTCACTGCTCTAATACAGAGACCTAGCTTCTGATTTGACCATTACTGGTCAGCTGATTGCAGATCTAGCCCGTGATTGGTCAACAGGCTAAATAAAAGATTGTAGCTTTGAATTACCATAGTCAGCTAACAACAGAAAAAAACAAAATTTTGCCAAATTCATACATAGATATTTACAGATTACATATGTTTTTAGTGGATCGGATGCAGGTTGTCTCTTAATGACACTGTCCTCCTCTGTGGGATAGAAAAGCCTCTGGTAATCTGTGTAATTTTGTCCTTACACCTTGTCAGCTCCGCCCTTTGTTTTGTACTTTCTCCTGCAGGCTACATGGTCTACAGTGCCTCATATGATGACGTCCTCAACAACAGATGGTCCTCCAGACTCTCCAGTGGGACACACCTGCCTGTGGAGAACCTCAAACCCAACTCTAGGTAACACGGATCACGTGCAGTATGTTTACACAGAACTATGTACAAATGCAAACAGCAGACCTGCTTACGGAAAGGTTGATGTGACCATGTGGACAGAACTTTTCACAGTTTCCTCTCACACACGTGGGAGTCATCGAGAAAGAAGAACTTGCAAACAAAGATTTCCCCTGCGTGTGATGTTAAGGATCAGGTTACGGCCTTGGATTGCAGGTGCTTGGCTGCAGATTGGTGTTGTTTATATCATCATCTCTTTATCACATAATGCACAAAATACAAACCTTGTCATGATGTTTGTGTATGAGTTCATGTTTACATGTTTCTCTTGGTCTTATTCCATGTTTGTGATATAAACCCAGGCTGCCTGTGATCAGGGCTGATTGTGAGTTGGATGCTGATACTGGGGTGTTTGTGTAAGACATCAGAGAACCGTCCAAGCGAGCAAAATCTGTCCTGCTAAAAGGAGGCAGGTTAAGAAACACGTTTGACTCTGCACCAAGATATGACACGCTGTAAAACACGCTGTGTTGAGACTTTGGAAAATTCAGTGGAACGTAAATACAGCACACATCCCGTCATCACACCGATACAGTCTCCTCCGTCTGTTTCAGTTATTAGAGAGTGTTTCCACAATCCCGCCTTGAAATGGGTCATGGTTTTTCAAATAAATGCATGGAAACGATTTCTTAACATGTGGAACCAGGAGAGGAAGACAGATGGAGAAGTTCCTAGAAATGTACAGTCCAATCACATTTTGAGGACTCTGAATTGCATGCATTTATTTGGCGATAAGTCAGTATATTAAAAAAAAGTTACATCGGTTGAATTGTCCTCTATCATTTGCTTTATAGAGCTCTGGCACGCACTAGGTGACATGTGAATGAATGGCATAGACAAAGGTGAAACTACTGCTCAGCTTTATGTCAAACAACACTGTGTTAGCCAAAGTTCTTCTGTGAAACATGTCATCCCGTCAGACGCAGGCTTTTCCCCACTGTTTTTTTAATGCGAGTGAAATTGCTCGGCAGTCAAGCCTAACATACACCATCCCTCTTTATTTCTATTATCTCCCATATATCAGCTGAACAAGAAACTGTGATGAGAGATGAAGAACATTTTAGTGCTTCTGTGACTGTCCAAAATGTCCTAATGTGCCCGTTCCCCATCTGGTACTCCGTAAGAAAATATTTCATTCTCTATAGCAAGTAATCTAACCATTATCTGATGTAAAAACAGCTCCAGATGTGTGCATACTCAAAAGGAATCAGAGTATTTTTTTGCATGCTGGAGGTTTGAACTCATTTTGAGGTGCTTTGGTGGGTGTCTCATGACGGGTCAAAGAAAGCAAACACCTGCAGCTGGACACAAACTGCAGAGCTGCGTGCATGGGTAAAGTTTTCCAGGAGTCTACAAAGAGGGCTTCCCTCCCTCCTTCCCTCCTTCCCTGGCAACAAGTTTTTATCCACTGTAGTGCGTCTTCCTTGGTTACGGTTGGCAAGGGGATGATTTATGGGATACTGTTGGTATTTCCCATGCTGCAGGCTCCTTCTAGATGCCAGAAAGACAGCTATATTATTCAACAACACACACGTACATGTATGGACGCTCACAGGTGGATACATTTCTTTTGAGCCACAGGTTTTCCTGCTAATAAGATTGAAAAAAGTTACAGAAGACTTTAAAACTTTGGCATCTCCTCCTTCAGGATGATAAAACTCTGGATTTTTGTCAAGATTTTCAGAAACTTTACAGTTTTATTTCTTCTTTGTGCAGCAGAAATTGCTTATACTAAAAGCCTCTGTCAAGAGGATTCAAGTCATTATGAAACAAAATAAAATTAAAGCTGAAGCCTTTATGTGACCCGCTAAAGCAAACCAGATGATCAGGAAGAAGCTCTATTATTTCTTTGTAGGTCTTTTGAATGCCGGCTATCACTGCTATTGGGAGAAAAAGAGAATTACAATACACTACCACATGGAAGATTTAGAGTTACAGAACTGACTGTTAAACAATTACGGACAAATGTACAAGACAAGTATAGTCAAGAGATTAGATGAACCACTTTGTCCACAGGGGGCGCCACTATTAACACAAACCATAAGACTCACAGCGGAGCTTTAATGATTCCATCTCTTGTTGAAACATGCTCATGTCCTCTTCAAAAGAAGTCTTTTGATGGCTCCAATATTAGGGCTGTAATTAACCAGAGAAATTCTTGGTTGACTAAAACCCTGACATTTCTGATTCCTGATGACAAACCCTTCTACGGCGGGGGATGACGGGACTCGGCGGGGTGAAAGTATACTGATATCAGAACAAGAAGGCAATTAGACACAAATATTATATTCAGCAAACCACCAAATGTTGATTAACGTGGACGCGCTTTAATCTTCCTGTCTCCAGCCGGTCTCTAGTGGGTTGGGCGAATCCAAAACGGTGATAAAAAGGGGGGTGTTCTGAGACAGGCTGTTACCTGTGAAACAGTGGTGCTCTGAAAACACCCCCATTAGCACTTGGTATGTTCCTCCGGATTAAATTAACCATAGACTGTAAATTGACACAGAAGAAGATCGAGTCGACCAATCAGAATTTTGGTCGCCTCAGTACATGTCGACCAATAAGTCGAGGCATGACTAGGACTATCCAGTATGTCATGTTAAGAGTGAATTTGTGAACATAGATGACTGATTAAGTTCAACTTTGTTCAATGAGGACTTTTCTGCCAGCTGCCATAACAAAAAGTCTGTTTCAAGTCTGGTTAAACTCTTTCATATTCAAACTTTTATTTTCTGTACATCCTCTGTAATATTTTAGTTTAGGAACCATGTGCCCTAATCAGGCTGTCTAAAAGCACATGGCTTTGTACAAAGGCTTTGAGCTAAAAACATCCATATTGTTTATGTTATTCCCTTACCATTTACAAAGATAGATATTTCCTTTTTAGCTCTGTTTATAAGATGTTCACACCTTTGCTCATATCATCCATAGGCAATGGCCACTCTCATGCGAAGCCGTGCCATTTTCTACATCACGGTCATTGCATTGCATCTGTGCTTATAAAATAATAACTTCATTTTTAAAGGAGAGAAGAGAGGAGAGGAGAGAAAACTGAGAGAAGAGTTTGTAGAGAGATGTCAGAAAGAGGGCAAGGAAGCCAGATTTAGAAACAGACACCAGAGTGCCTCCCACTGTGAGCACATGTATGAAAAGATATCCTGGAAAATATCAGGTCCTGTTTGTCCTGAAATAGACTGGAATTGTCCTGAAAATGCTCTTGTGAGGAGTTTTTTTTCTAATTAGTGAAACAGATTTAACATCATATAGATTTTTTTATGATATACAAAAGCAAATGTTTATGTTTTAATTTTCAGTGCTTGGAACTGGAGTGAGAGGGTAGCTGTCAGCTGAGGATACAGCCCTGTTTTTGCATTTTGTAGTTATATATTCAAAATGAAGGACCCATTTAACGAAGACTGCTTTGTCCACAAGGGACACCAAAATGGACACAATCTAAAGTTCCTCCCAGGGGCTTTAATCTGTGAAAGAGGCTTGAAGGACATTGAACTGTGCAGGTGTAAATTTGAATCCTCCACTCTTTAAATGTAGTTTTAGGCTTTATTTGACCAATCAAAGTTCACTGATTTGTTCAGAGGAGCCTCAAATGAGGTCAGACTCAATTCAGCGACCCCCTGAATTATGGAGCTGGCTTGGCTTCATGTGGCATCTTGTGGTTTATCCTTAGTTCTTTTTTCTCTTTTCCTCCTCTCCTGATTTCTTCTCCATTTTCATCTTTGATTACATCATCTCTCAGCAGCTGCCTCACTGTCTTTTCTTTCTCCGAGTTTCTCTGGTGATGTGTTTTCTGGTCACTGTTGTCACGTGGCTGTGGTGATTAGATCCAGACCTCATGGCTGTTCTTGGTGAGAGTTTTTGGCTGAAAACTGATCGACCGTGAACGTAGTGTATGTGACCCTGCAGGATGGAGCGGGGCGCAGAAGCACAAAGTGATGTGTGGAGGAACACACACAGCAGCTACAATGGAAAACTTGAAACGTATGGTGGTTTTTGGCGCTGGTGTTGTTTTATTTTGATAGGGTTTTACAATTCGTCACCACTTAGAGTCACAATGAGCTCACAGCATGGCTCCACTTAGCCATTTTTCTTTCGATAAATATCCATCTCTTTCCAGTCCTATTCTGTGCTCTTATCTCCACTTTTCTAGATGTCTTTTTTTCCATTCCTGCCCTTTCCTCCGCTCTCCCTTCCTCCTTCTCCCTTCAACATGAGCCAAATAGCCATTTTATTGTGCTGCGCTCACTCTGGATTTGTACCAATGTGAAACAGACTACTCTTAAATCAGCCAGACTAAAGCATGCCCAGTCATCTGCTTCTATCATTAACATTTTCCTCACCTTCCCCCAGTCAAAACAAAACTGGCCAAATGACATTGTCACCACTTAATCTCCCATTAAATCCTTACGTTTTAGTTTGTTTTCATTCAGGTACTACTTCAAAGTGCAGGCCAAGAACGTGTTTGGTTTGGGACCAGTCAGCGACACACTCACCTATGTGACTGAATCAGGTGTGTATCCTGGATTAACACTGAGACGCCTCATTAACAACAGTTTTAACCCTAATTGAAGTTTTTCTGTGCCTCATTACAGCTGATGAAAACTGTAGTATCCATCTTATTACAAAGAAAGAGCTTTAAGTTTAAACACAGGCTTGGACATGTAGCTCACCGCCAGATGTACAGCTTCATTTTGTGGGGTTTATTGCTCTAAAAATCAGGTTAACACATCAGACGTTTGTTGCTGTCTCCGTGCTTTTCCTCCCTTGTGTAATGACCGCGATCGTTCCTTTTTTTTCCAGACGATCCTCTTCTCATCGAAAGGCCACCTGGTAAGTTTTTGTCCTGACGGCACACTTCTGATTTAAGGTCAGCTCGTCCTGCTGAGCTGCACAAGAGATTTAAAGAGAGGACTATCATTCAGTTCAGTGACATGACAGGATATAACTCTATTTACAGTCCTTCTTATTTTTCCCATCTGCAGCATTGGTTGGATTTCTACTGTGTGTGGGCAAAAGAATCTGTGAATTAGCCTGAATAAGAAGTCTGGCAATACTTTCTTTTTCCAACAGCATTATAAGGTGCATATTTTAGCCAGTAAATATTGCGGAAACTCAAAAGTGAAATCTGAAAAATCTGTTTTGAGTAGTTTGGAATGTCTGTACAACAAGTTCAGTTTAATTTCTTAAAAAACTAGGGGTTTTTTTGTTTGGTTTTTTTTTTGGTACTCCGTTACATTTCTTTATTTTCTTTTCTTCTCTGTTGAGACCCAGGACTTAAAGGTGCAGTCAAAACTCCATGGTTGCCAATATTTTTGTATGAGCGCTCTCTCCTGTTGAAAGGAAAAACGCACCCAAGGTTTAAGTACCTTTAGGTTAAAGCTGCGCAATAAATCACAATTTCATCTTTATCGCCACATGAGTGATCGCAATAAAGTCTGAATGTCTTGCAATAAATAAGTTAAGTTTTTTTATTTCAACGGGCAAGGCTTCCTCACTCAGCATGAGTATAATTCACTGGATGAATGGAGGCCTGAGTACATCGGCCATGCTTTCACTCTTTTTAAAGCAGTCAGATGAAGCTCAAGCTAGCTATGATTAGAAAGACAGGTATTCTAAGTTATTTCAGGGATTTTTTGCAGTTATTAGATAGGACAGTTAAAGAGATGAAGTAAATGTGGGGAGGAAAGAGCAGGGAAGATATGAATACAGGGAAAATGCTGAGAGTCAGACCATCAACCTGTACCACAAGGACTGTTGAGTACGCCTAAAGCGAACACGAGGGCACCAGATAGACACAAAACATGAGAGGCCTTACTTGTCACACTTTGAATTATTATTGCAATATTGAACAATATTGTGGTGGTGGTGGTGGTGGTGGGGGGGGGGGGGGGGGGGTATTTTAAAATCATACATGCTTAGTTTTCCGTAAAAATTTGTGCAATCCCTATCAAAATGTTTTCATGTACATCGTTACAATGATGGAACCCCTTTTTTGAACTGAAAAAAAAACAAAACAAAAACAACTTAAAATCTAAGCATAACTCAAGTCTTTTTAATGCTAAGTTTTACATAATGCATTGTATTTTTTAATCACAAACATCAGCCCAACATAAAGGTCTTTAGCAGTCCTCTGGTATTTAATACAAACTGAATGGTGTCTCAGTGCTGCCAAGAGATTTTTATGAAACCTTTAATTTCTCTGTGCTTGATAATACCACTCAGAAATAAATCATCATATCATCTTCGTATTAAGATAGCTATTTCATCTGGCTTTATGTCAACAATATGTCAAAAGTAATGTTCAATTGGTTTCTAAGTTTGACGGTGAAAACAGATGTTTGACATACTAATTGAAAACTTCCTCCCCATTCTGCAGGTGGAGAGCCAATCTGGGTTCCCTTTACATTTAAGTATAACCCTGCCCACAGCAGCTGTAAGGGCAGCCAGTATGTCAAGCGGACATGGTATAGGAAGTTTGTGGGCGTGGTTTTGTGTAACTCACTACGATACAAGATCTTCATGGGAGAAGGTCTGAGAGGTAACATGAACTAACTTCTGATTTCTGATTCGGTCATAAATATCCCATTTCTATGCGAAACCTATCTGTGCTATAATTGTTTGGTGCTCTTATTATCACCCACTTCCCATTTCTCCCCACAGAGCCTTTTTACAGTGTAGGAGACACATTTGGTCAGGGAGAAGACCACTGCCAGTTTGTGGACTCATACAGGGATGGCCGGACGGGCCCGGCCTACCTTTCAAACAATCTGCCTACAGCACAAGGTAAACAGGAACACATTGTGCACAGATTTATGGCCCCAGTATTTGGACTAACCTGTTGTCATACTTTCCATGCAGCCCATTTGCTTGACTCTTAAGGGGACCAGCTGCATTGATCTTATCTGACCCAGACTCAGAGTAACATTTAAATGGAAACATGTTGAAGACCCGACAGTATTTTGCATTTTTAGCCAAAATCTTCAAATGTGGTTCTTTGGGTTTCTACAGACCCTTATTCTTGCCACACCAGAACATAATAGATCAATACAAATAAAGACAATAAGTACCTTTAGGTCATATTTAAGTCATTGGATTATGTTTGACTTGCTTGAGATATGCTCTCTGCCACTGTTAACAACATTACCAACTGGTTTTTGGCTCGATTGTAGAATCAAAGCAACATTTGGAAAATATGATTATGAGGTAGCCAAAGAAAAAACACCTTTATTGATGTGTTTGACATTTAATCAATGACTGGAGTAGAAAAAAAACACTGTTTTAGTTTCTTCTCTATTTGTACAACACAAACTTTGTTATTTAAAGCTCCTATAAGAAACTTTTAGTTAGTGTACTTTTTGTGAACAAGGCTGTAGGTGTTTTTTTTTTAAACACAATATCCTACTTTTAAAGAAGATAGATGTGTCAGTCCTTTTAAACTTCTGCTTTGGTAAATACAGTATGTCATGGCAGTGAACTGTTTATCTCTTCATCAGACACCTCCCCATGTAAGTGGTGACAGGCATTAATAGTAAAATATGACAGTTATCTGAAGTAAGAAATGCTCTCCAGACCTGAATAATCATCATCATCACTCAAGCAAGAGATTACGAACAAAGGCTGAATTATTGTGTTTTATTTTTCACTATTTATTCTGTTTTTGTAAATGGCTTTCATTTCTTTTCTTTTTTTTTTAGGATTTTATCGTGCATTCAGACAGGAGCCAGTTTCATTTGGAGTTATTGGCCGACGTACAACCCATCCATTCGTGGGCTGGTATGAATGCGGGGTGCCAATCCCTGGGAAGTGGTAAAACTGCAGAAGAAGGAGACAGTGTTCCCCGAGGGCGACCCTTTTGCATACTGCTGCAGGCTCTTACCTTTACTGGTGCTGCCCTTTAAAACAGACTATTGCCTGCCTCATTGAAAGGACACCACTATGAATTTATTACTGCTTCACAGAAAGAGAATATAGTACTTTAAAATAACTCAATGTATATCATTATGATGCACTTTTATATAAAGCAGTCTGTATATGAGGGAAAAAAAGAAGCATGTGTGCTCTTGCTTAGTTTAACTCATGTCTTAACATGTCCTTGTACTGTTGCTGACAATCCCAAAGACAAGTCCTCACCCAGAGTTATTTATCCCACCAATAATGCACACACACGTTCAAACCAGTGACATTGGACCAAAGCACAAGCTGCGAAGCAACCTATAGGGATGGGCACTCAGTGTGTGTATAGGTCTGTTCATTTTCAATCTTGAGATTTGTGTGACTTGATTTAATGGCTCCTGACAGCTACTTTTTGTGTCTATTTGTGTTTGGAAACTCGCATACTGTTTTTTTATTTTTATACACCCTCTTGTGTATTCACCAGGATTCATTCAACATTACTGTGTATGTTGTTTATGTATGAGGACAAAGAATAAAAGACAAGATATTTGCTCAGGAACGGTGAGAGATTGAATAAAGGTGCTGTGGAAACCACAGCAATCCAAAAACATGAATCATATCATATTCTACTGCTGCCACATTCTTTTCTAGCAAAACTCCACATGTGATCCCTGCCTACTTAATCAACCTCATGGAAGATTTGAGCAACACAGAACGTTTAGTACACCAGCTGGAGCAGCGACTGTTCTTAAAAATTTGAAAACACGTATTGGCAATAAAGCAAAGGATGGAGTAAGAGCGAAAATAGCCGTCTACTGGCATTCAACGTGCTATCCAATCAGCCCAAAGCCTTCAGCAGTGTTTTGGAGATAGGGATCATCTTAATTATCTAAACACGAAAAATGTCATATTGGATCTTTCCTGCATACCTTTTGTTCCCAAATTCCAAATTTGGCATTTTGACCATTTTATACTGATAATTGTATCATCAACTCCACTATGCGAATCTTTCAAATACAGTTGTCACTTTTACCCAAAACTAATTGAATAAAAGACACAAGTGTATCTGTCAAATATTAAAACACCCAGACGTTTAGTTTTGTGTGTTAGTCTACTGCAGTTATTCTGAATACCATGTTTAAATTTTACAGATGGTATTAGTATACTCTAATTTCACAGGTTGAATTTTAAATGGATGGTGCAGGTTAATGTAAATAATACAGAGAAGTCGATTTGGATTTATAAAAGTATACAAACAAGCAAGTGAGCTGGAAAATGTCTTGAAAATGGAAAATGTCTAGTCCAGTTCCTGTCAAGCTGCAGAATTAGCTGCTTTGTTGGAGATTGTAATCCTTTTTTTTCTTCTTCTTCTTTTTTGTGTTGTGCTCTGCTTTTGGAATTGTTGCCAGGAAGCAATATCACAATCAAGATCATACTCTTGTACTGAATATCAGCATAGCTGGCTTCATGTCTGTGACACCATCAGCCATGCTAATTAACAGTACATCTCTGTCTCTTCTGTGATATTTCTTGATAAATCAGTTTTCTTGATAAATCAGGTTTTTTACAGTGATTTATAATTTAAAAAATACAACATAGTGGAAGAAAAACTGATATTCTTGAAGTCATGAGATCCAGTTTTTCAAACATGTAACAATAGCTGTTATATAAAACTCAAAGAACCAAGTTTTTAAAATATCTGAGTATGACCAAAAGTGTCACTTCAACTGTGATAGTATCAAAAGTATAACCTACAATCTCTTATCTGAGGAGTGCAGATGGATCTGCTGAAATGCTGAGGGAGCTCTGGGAGGTACAAAATATTTCCCTTGGCAGTGATAGAGCGATGATGACTGCTTTTGCAATATGTCAACACTTTGGTTGATGGTTGACAGATTTTTAACATATTTTCCAAGTATTCTATGTGTGAACAAGTGCCTCAGCTGCTATGTGTTTTTGGTGAGTAATGAGCCTGTCTTTGCCATGAAGTAGTTTCACTTGGCTCTTGGCTGTGGTAAATTTTTCTCAGTAAAAAAAATGCAGTTGATTGAAGTAACGATGGAAACAATTAGCTTTAAGACACTGGACCTTTGAGAGCACTGCACAATAGTCTCCTCTAATGTCTGAAGTAATAAAAAAACATAATGAGTAGAGAAGAAGAGGAGACAAAAGAAGAGTGGCCAAAAAAGGAAATGAAAAAAGTCAAGGGAACTACATACAAGCTTGAATATGTATAAATTATTCAACCTACCAAGCAACCAATGATCAAAACAATCAACCAAACAAACAACCGACCATGAATCTGCCTACCATCCAGTTAACCAGTCATACAGTAAACAAACCATACAATGAAACAGCCAACCAGACATTCAATTTGTAATAAACTAACCAATCAATCTACTTAACAATCAATCAACCTACCAACCAACCAATCAGTCATACAACCATACCATTAATCAACATGTCACACACAATAAACTGACCAACCAATCACCAACTCGTACCATACACCAATCAACCAATCAGGCAATCATACAGTTGGTTTATTTTTATTTTTTGTGAGCTATGGTTTACCAAAGTTTGATTATTGGTCTGGAGTGTTTTAAAGACCCACTGTGATGAAAACCATGTTTTTCTTGTTGTCTACATGTTTATATGGCATTTTTCTGATACTACAGGACATTTCATGAGAAAAACAAGTGCTAACTTGCATTTCTGAGTATTTCCGCATTCAAATCTCTGTGAATCTCTGGCAGACCCAAACGAAAGGTTCAGATTCAGTGAGATTTCCAATATAGCAAATCCAAGCTCCACCCTTGGAGCCCTGCTATGCAGACCAGGCTCAGAAAAGTTGAGAGGACGATCGTGGAACAAGTGTGTGCGTTAGTGGATTGAAATGTTCGTAAGAAAGCTAATTATGATACTAACTTTCATCATGTCCCCAAAGACATAAGTGTCCGAAAGCTGAATAGCTCCTACCTGCTACTATTACAACACGGGCAATGTTAGGCTGTAAGCTAGCATGAAGAGGAGTGTGCAGAGCAGCGCTGTCTCTGCCCATGACTTAGAGGTGAATTGCTAATAAGCTACTAGAGCTCCGCAGAAGAAAAGCCCTTGAGGATGACAGATAAAGTGATTTTGGCTAAAAACTTCATAATTACAACTTAAAGACCACTGAGGACACTTTTAGTAAGGGGAAAAAATCGGAGTGGGACTTTAACAACCCTTTGCTATGAAACTGTTGAAGTATATTTATGTGTCAGGATAACTTTAACTGGTTTTGTCATGTTTGCTTCGTACTGTTAAGTTGAGGTCATATAAAAAGTATATGTTTGACAGAGTTAAGCTCTGTTGGGACAGCTAAAGAAATAAAAATGTTCTGAAGGGAAACAGTTCTGGCAAGAGTCCAGGAAATACTGTGTATTATTGTGCATCTTCAGTCTTATCAGATGGGTAACAAACCAGACTGCGCAAACAGGAGCTATAAACAACAAAGAAACTGAAAAATAGACTATTCCTCTGAACCAGCTTGTCATCCAGAAAAAAGAAATCTCATGAAAATAAAAGATCTGAGTTTTTAAGTGCTCAGAGACATAATATTTACTGAACTCCAAGATGACATAACAGGCAGGCTGCAGCGACAGAGACTCAGTTGTTTTGCTCCCAGCTCACTGTTCCCTTAATGAGTTTAGGATGAAAGTTGGACTTCCTTTTTTGTGCAGGACTCTGAGCTCTTTATGCCTGTTATGAAGTCAGCATGCTGGGCTTTTGAAATCATATCATTCTTTTGGCACAAAGAAAGGTCACACATGAACCTGAGAAACTCTGCTGGGGAATTAGGAGGATTCAAAACCAATTTACCCTCTTAGATTATTGCTTGTTAGACCTCTGTTTGTTCTATTTTAGGGTTAATGACACATACAAGACCTCTACCAGTCCCCGCTATTGGAAGAGATGCAGCTTGCACTGAAGTGTGTGTTCACAGTGAGCTGAAAAATCTGATCTCTGATGGTTAAATACTGTTGCAGTCATTAAACTCAACTCTTATTACTGTGGGGGCTTGTTGTAATAATATGTTATTACCATAAAATATCTTTGTCTCCACAGCTTAAGGCAGTTAAATACATATATATAAATTTCAAGCTGACGAATTTCCAGATAATCAGGTCAGGCTAACAGCAAGTCCTGCACATCCCAATTCCAGCCAACAGCTAAACTCATTTAGCTGCAGAAATGTCCAAAATAACTTCATGTGATGGGGGAAAAAGCTGGAAAAACAGAGAGGACTTTAGACATCATTAACTCGGGCAGAGCAGGGTATTTTCTTAAGTGTTGACGCTGATTGCTGCTGACCGTCCTCTATGACTGTGTGTGAGGTCTGGGGCACATTTAACATCTCCCAGGAGTCACTGTAAGCACAGACAAGGACGCTGAAGCATGCGTGCCACTTGTGTCAATACATTCAGCACATACACACCTTCATGACTCTTCAGTTTATTCTGTTTTATGAGCAAATCCTTTCAGATCCAGCAGCTTGTAGAGAATATCCTCTCTCACTGGCCCATAAACCACAAAGATGGGGTTTAGGCTTGTTGTAATTGCTCCCCTGACTTTGGATATTGAGACAAACTAAACCTCTTTGTCATCTTATCTTCTGCATGGATCTCATAATGAGGCTGTGTGGTGTCTTTACAGTTCCTGTTAAACCTCTAAATATGTCAGATTTAGACACTATGATCAACTATAGAGGCTCTAAATGTCCCTACTGCTTGTAAAGTAAAGCACTTAAGATGTTGTAGTTTGTAATATGTCTTGAGCTCTTTGGAAATCTGGTTTGATCGCAGCTACAGAGCTTTACATCCGCAGGATAAGATCACTTTCTTTGAGCAGATGTTGAGCATTTAAAGTCTTGTAAATGAATGTCTGGTGTGAGGCGACTGCACACAAAAGAAATACTGTTTGGTCTTAATTAAATGAAGGATGAACAGATTTGAAGCTGAAGTAAGCAGAAGAAAATTCAGTAACTAAAAGCAGGGCTAAGAGTTTCTTAAAGGCATATTGAGTAATTTTTTGATTGATTTCTTGGCGCTTTCAACAAAAGATATCACAGTGAAACCAAATATTTATACCTCAGTGACACTGACAGTACAGGGAGGAAAACAAGGAAATGTCACTGTCTGAAAACTTCATTTGTCTCCATAATCAGGTCCATCTTTCCCATGTTGAGTTCATTTGGTGAGATGCTGGATTGTGTTAAACCCCCAAA